ATTACAGAACGTAACCGAATTCGCGCGAAGTCACAATCAAAGTGTGTGAATAAGAATGGGAGCACAATATAGCCGTGATTAGCACAGTCAAACAAAAGCACATTAAAACAAACACTGGTACAGTTGGTTATAATAATAATTGTTTTTATTAAACCAGTCGTGTTCTCGTGATAAATGTGAGTCACTACAAGGTCGTGAGAACTGAGTAAGGAGACATAAATATTTGTATTACGTTACAGTCGCAAATCCTGACTTCAAAATTCTAGTGGACGCAGCTATCTGGCTCAGCATTATTTTCATTTAAAGCATATTTATCACATTGACTAGAGTAAACATTAGAAATGTTTTTGTGATAAGGATAAACAGCAGTTGATATGAAATCATCCGAATTGTAATCAAAATCGAGCTTATTTAGTACTCGTGCTTTGCATTGGACAAGTTTTTCACTAGGAGCACATGCATTGTGAGGATAGGTTATATATGATATGACATCAGGATTCGATTCTTCTGAAATATTTTCATGAAATTTGTTAAGAATGTCACTGCAGAATAATGGATCATTAGAAAAATCACCATCCATCAAAACTACATCAGGTTTTTGATCATAATTATGTTCACTCAACATATTTTCTTCAGATTTGCAAGGAATTTCATCAGAAATATATGAATAATTAAGAAAAGTCATATCTGGTACAATAACATGAGAAATCTGATAAGTCGATTAATTAGAAACTGTTATCTCGCAAGAATTCTGAATTTCACTTAACTCTGAACTGCTATGTGACTCTACACTGTCTTTTAAAATCGTTGATAAAAATAAATGATCATTATGAATACTCGGCTCAGTGGAATCAGAATTACAAGACTTAATATTAGTTGCAGTAAGATGAACATTAGTATTATAGACTGACTGAATATGTCCAATATCACCACATTTAAAGCACTTGGAATTAAAAAATTTACATAAATTAAAAGACTGGAACTTGCCACAGGACAAACATTGACCAAACTTGTGCCCATCTTCGTGAAATGCATTGCACCTCCTCAATGAATTATCTGCATAGCCTTGAGTATGCACTGGGTTGGGATGACGTAGTAATGTAGTGGAATTTTTTATATCCTCACGAAATCTTCCTTCACCACATCCAAAATTTGTATACTTAACATAGTATAGCAGTAGTTTCTTGAGAGTTGCATAAGGAAGCGAAATGGGCTTTTCCGATAAAGCCGGAGTTCTTAATAAGCTATATGCTTCTTTTCCGATGAATGTGGGAAAATATGCCACAATATTAACATTCTCAGCATCTTCCTTGATCATAGCCCAGATTTTGAACCTTTCAAAGTAATCCTCAAAAGCACCAAAATCTGAATGTATATCCAACAACTCCATCACAGGATCCTGCTCGCGACACCAATTTGGTATTTCGAATTATTTGAATTGTAGTATGAACTAAGAATCCCCGAAATAACGCAATTGAATCAAGAAGTACTAGATGAGCACAAACGAATGTATTGTATTTAGAATTCGAAATCAAGCATTCAACAAGTACAAAGAAATCATCAGTTCATTCAAACACCACGCTTCTCCTAAAGATGCCACAGTTATTCGGGGATAGATAAAGCCTTTACACGTAATACATTTCAAATCGAAGTATATCAACTTAAACAAGACAGTAGTAAGATATGAGGGGGAGGTCTGCTTCGGTATTAGTACATTTATCTTTGCGACTAAAATAACAGACCTATTCCTAAAACTGTGGATATGTAGATATATACTGGGGTTGAAGCTATCACGAGTTCACCCAATCTGCGAACGAGAACAAAGGCTCGGTGACCAAAGACCAGTAAGCTAGCTGTTTGATGAGTCCCAGCCCCGATAACTAGAGGAAGAAGTCCAAGCTTGGAATAGGGAAGTATATTCTGCAAACAGCCAGAAACGAGCGATATCAACAAACACAATCCAAAACGTATATATACAGTACAAAACCGTCCTTGGGGAGAGTCACTAAATAGCATACTAAAAGACGCAACGGACCAATAGCATTTAAGGTATTTCCCAGTGGGAAATATGACATGAAAGTGACAAGAGCACTTTTGGCGCGAAAACAAAGAAATTCAAATTTTCTAAATAAAATTACAAAAATAGGTCCTTTCCTAAGTGAGTTCTGGAAATCTAACGTCCCCAACAATATCTGACGACCTAATCTATGAGATTTGACGAGGAAGTCACATTATTGTTCACACTGGCTTGTCCTATCGTAAGAATCAGCAATATGATGTCAAATACTTCTGAAGAACATGTTCGAGCTGGGTAGAAAATAATATATTTGATGCAAGATGCAATAGGTTTTACGTAGAGTGGCCACGCCCGCATCGCTGAGTCATACCGATTCGGACCATTGTTCCCGCGTTCACCATGATCGACCTCCTCCAAGTGTTACATGTTGAATGCCAATCTTCTCAATAACTATATGCTCAGCTTCGAGAATCGTGTGGTATGGAACCAATACCACTGCAAGGTTACGCAATTGACCGATAAACTATGCCTGCCCACAGTAGTCCTGACTGTGATTTCTCCTTACACTGGTCAGTTATTAGCGATACTATGACTAATAGGGTATGCACCTGTGTAAGGTGTGAACCAACCCAGTTTCTAGGTGACTTTAGGTAATTTAGTCTTACCATAATATGCACACTAACATCAAACCAATCAAATAGTTATCTGTAAGACTCCGTTTATGTCGCTGGCCCTAAGAAGACTATTCGATTCCAAAGCTCTTGATATTTTCATTGTTTTTTTCTTAATCTTATGTTCCAATTTTTCTAGTCAGTAAACACTTTCTGTATATCCGCTGAGAAAATCGAACCGACATGTTCTTGCTTGGGAAGTTGAGTGAACCGACATTCCTGTGGAAGTCGATTCTAGGGAAAAGCTGATGTAACAACTTAGGCCAACTGTTTAAAAGTTGGTCACAAACATCTTAGTAGTGTTAAAACATTATAGCTCAATTATTCATTCTTTCTTCATTTTGTATAGGCATTAAATTTATTATTATTTTTTATTGAATGTTGAAAAACTCTGTGTTTGAAAAAGATAACCTCGCTCACAAGCTGTTCTGTTTCACGATCTACGTAGAGACCTGTTCCCTACTAGCCTAATTCCTTCTATCGATAGATTGAGGGGTACCTACCGGCACGAAAGTTCTACTGTGTCCACGTAAGACTCAGGAGATTATCATTTTAATAAATTTGAAATCAATAAATCCAGATTCGATTACATGCTACAGTTAGTCATTATTCGTCTGCCCGATAACAAATAAGCATCTGAACACGGCTAACAAAAAAGGTGACTGTCGATCATGTAGGAAATACAGAGCTCTCAACCGTCAAACTGTTCGAGATAAGAACCCACTGTTTGACATCCAAGATTCCACGAACGGGATACAGGGTGTAAAAAGATTTGTTGAAGCTGTCTTTGGAGATGTCACATTGTGACACTAGCCATGGAAGGCATTTCTAAGATTGCCATTATCATGACTTTTGGGTTTTTAGAGTTTGCGTAGATGCCATTTGGTCTGAGAAACGTGGCATAAATAATCCAAAGGCTTGTGGACGATTTATTCCAAGGTGTAGCTTTCACACAAGTATAATGACAAATTATCCTGATTTGTAATCACATGAACAGCGTGTGAGAATCGTGTTAAAAAATACATGAAAACTGAATAAAGTGTGTGTTGGAAGTCGAATTTTCGAAAATTTTCGGATACAATAGACACAGAAGGCATTGCTCCAGTTAAGAGAGAGGTGGACTCCTTTAACGATATATCGTACCGATGTTTTTAACATAACATAAATATTTAATAAACGTTTATCACTGATTAATACCCGGTTGTTTACGACAATTTTAACTGTTGGAAGGTGGTATGGTATTCGAATTATAGTATGAATTAGGAATCCCAGGATTAACGCAATTGAATTAAGAAGACACAGGCACAACGAATGTACTGTATTTAGAATTCGAAATCAAGTATTCAACCAGTACAAAGATATCATTAGTCCATTCAAACACCACATCCGCCACAGCTTAAATAGAAGTATAAGTGTTTGTAATCGGTTGTACGTCTTCTTGTGAAGTTCATCCTGAGTCTGTCCGACATTGTATAAGATAAAAACTTTGTAGTATCTAGAAAGTGCTCATTAGTATTGGAATTAACAAACGAAATCGGAACAGACTCACCTGGAATTGTATACAATCAGCATATCGGTTTTGTACTGAAATCATTAATATCTAGAATTTGAACCATAGATTTTTCAATCCTATCCTCCCCCACGAAATAATGTTGGATCTTTATATCCCCAAGTTATGAATAATGTGGCTTCATTTAAAACATATTTCTCACATTGTTTAGAGTAAACATTAGAACTGTTTTTGTGATAAGAGTAAACAGCAGTTGATATGAAATCATTCGAAATGTAATAAAACTCGAGGTCACTTAGTACTCGTGCTTCGCATTGGGCAGGTTTTTCACAAGGATCAAATACATTATGAGGATAGGTAATATATGATATGACATCAGGATTTGATTCTTCTGAAATATTCTCATGAAATTCATCAGGACTGTCATTGCAGAGCGTAGGATCGTTAGAAAAATCAGCATCTACCCAAACCACATCAGGTTTTCGATCATGATTAGGTTCATTTAACATATTTTCCTCAGAATTGCAAGTAATTTCATTAGAAATATGTGAATCATTAGGAAAAGTCATACTTGGTACAATAGCATGAGAATTCTGATAAATCGGTTGATTAGGAACTGTTGTCTCACAAGAATTCTGGATTTCATTTAACTCTGAACTGCCATATGACTCTGCATTGTCTTTCGAAATCGTTGATAAAGATAAATGATCATTAGAAACATCCGAATTATTTAAATTTAAATCACAAGATTTAGTACAGCTTGAAGCAAAATGGACAGTAACATTGCATACTGACTGAATGTGTCCTACCTTACCACATTTAAAACATTCAGCATTACGAAATACACATGGATTGCGAGCATGAAACTTTCCACATGATAAACATTTACCAAACTTCATCTCACCTTTGTGATTTGCTTTGTAATTCGTCGTTGAAACACCTTTCATATTTACACGAAAATAGGAATCACTGTTAAATGAACGCAAATTTGATTGACCCTGAGATTGTAGTTCATCATGACGACTAAGCAAAGTATCAGAAATCTTCATCGACTGGATATCAAGTTCATTCACTGCTTCGTAGTTAATACACGCAGTCCTAGCATCTTGAAAGGAACAGTTTGGAATTTTTAACAGCTCTCTTTCCAAACTCGGTATGTTAATTCCTGCAATTAATCGATCTCTCAGTTGTACATGAAGTTGATCACCGAAATCACACTTGGCAGCTTGTTTCTGTAATTCAAGGATGAATTCCCGAGCCTTTTGGTCATTTTGACGAATCATCTTATGAAACTTCGCCCTTTCACGGCATTCAAAACTGGTGCATTTTACATGACTTAATAATAGCTCTTTAAGAGTTGCATAAGGGAGTGAAATAGGTTTTTCTGGATATGCTAAAGTTTTTAATAAGCTGTACGCTTCTCTCCCAATGAATGTGAGGAAGTGTGCTACAATATTAACATCCTCATCATCTTCTTTGGTCATGCTCCAAATTTCGAACCTTTCCAAATAATCCTCAAAAGCTTCAGGAGTTGAATGAATATCCAACTTTTCCATCGCAGGTTCCATCACGACGCCAATATGGTATTCGAATTATAGTATGAATTAGGAATCCCAGGATTAACGCAATTGAATTAAGAAGACACAGGCACAACGAATGTACTGTATTTAGAATTCGAAATCAAGTATTCAACCAGTACAAAGATATCATTAGTCCATTCAAACACCACAGATGGTCCTAGAGGAAAAACAAAATTTGATCTACCTTGGTACGACAACAGCGATGCCTTGACTCGTCTCCCTTACAAATATGAAAAAACTAATATTTGGCCCTCTTCATACTTTGTCTTATCCTAGCACGAAAGCCACTTCCAAGCTAATTAATGGTAGGCATATATAGAAAAACTTACGAAATGATATGCACAAGTTGGTAAGAAAGTGTTTGACATGTCAATAGTCAAAAGTGAACCGTTATATCAACTCAATATTGGGGTTTTCTCACAACCGGACCCACGTTCAATCTGTGTCTTTATAGAAATAGTAGGACCTATACCTCATTCCAGTGATTTTAATTAATTATTTACAATCATATATAAATTCAAGAGGTTTTCAGTGAACATACCAATAGTTGATATTATAGCTGAGATAGGGTTTGGTGAACATTTTTGGCACATCTGTCATAAAAACAAGTGACACTGGAGCCTAATTTTAATCTGAGTTATTCAACAGCTTATCGAAATTTATAGGATCTAATAGGATATTTTTCATAGCATATCAATCTCAGGCTAATAAGGTGGTAGGAAAGTTTCATTGTCAGTCAATAGTTACCCCAATATCACAGTTAAACCGCACTGAATGTGCAGAATTTTTACTATTAGTTATATTAAGAATAAAAACATCTATCAAAACTGATTCATAGTGTTGAGTATTTGAACTGGTTTTCAGGACAACAATAAGACTTTAAGGTGAGTTTATCAATCTTTGAATTCAAGGTGAAAATCTCAATCGATCAAGTTACGCGAGGATCGTGGGTGCGCACTGCCACTGAGGAGTGCCATACTAGGACGAAACGTCCGTCCAGTGTTTCCAGGTTTTTCATGATGATCTAGCTTCAGTTGACTCATGATTTCAACTATCGAAATTTCTAAATATCTCCACAAAACCCCTTCCGATAATTAAAGAATTGACAAATAACTAAAAAAAGTATCCCCATACGTTATAAAATATCAAGCGTGTGCAAACAATTATTCATTCCAAACTACAAAGATCTTTAACTTGATCCACAAAATTTTCCTGTATATTTTTCAATGAAATTTCATTTATTTTTCTCCCCCCACATATATATAATAGACAATTCCAAAAATCAATAAAATGGTAGCTAAATAAAATCAATCAATCAATAATTGAAGATCAATAAATCAATAATTCGAAAATCAATAAATGACTATTTCAGAAACCAATAATTTGAAAGATCAATAGATGGACAATTCAAAATATTATTATTGATTTTATCGATGATTGAATTGATGTTGTAATACTTTTTTTTGTTTTGCCATAAACATTATTGACTTATTTGATCGATCAATTGTGATCCTTTTTTTGTTTTTGGGAATGATGCTTGAATGTTATAAGACTTTTGATTTGAAAATTACAAAAAAAATTTTGTTTTGACAGGATTTATCACTTTGTAGCGTGGGTCGAGTTGCGAATGACTATGAACACCACTACAAGAAGACTACGTGTCAGTTAACCGATAAAATCCTCCGTAAGCCAAATATCAGGAGGCATTTGATGGCTGTAGTCGAGATGTATTTGTTGGCGATCTCGTGGTATCGAAAGGATACCGAGATCGTGTCAAAGGAGTACAAGTGTGGTTACTGAGCGTAACCGAACCCATGCAAGGTCACAATCGAGAGATAATGGAGCAGTAATATAGCTGTCTTTAGCACAGTTGAACAAACGAGCACAGTAAAACAATCACTGGTACAATTGGCTATAATAATGACTGTTTCCATTAAATCAATCGCGTTCTATTGATAAAAGTAGGTCACTACAACTTTTATATGAGTTTCTAGATCAATTTACTGATAGTTTTCAAGATCAAGAACTTGAGAAAAGATAGTTGGATCCAATCATACCATGGCTAAATGATCTAGAGGCGAGATTATAACTTATGGATAAGCCAATTAGGTAGAAGATAATAGGTTTTGAATATTGGCGAGAAATTCATTTATCCGTTTGGCTAAATAAAGTTTTGGCATTATAGCTGATATCAGTTTGTGATGAAAACCCTAAATCTAATTCCTAGCCTTTACCATCAACTGTAAATCATAATTCGAATTCTTCACACTGGTTTATAATCCTCACTTGGTTCTAGTTATTAACTAGGACCCCTACTTCGAACTTGTCACAAGATTATTTCATTCAGACATTCAGTGTGGAGCAACAAGACCAACGTAGAAGAAGTGATTGCCAGATCCCAAGAATATTATCAACAAGAAGTCGACATTTCTCTCAACGCTTCCAGTTATATCCAAGGATCAAAACTTATTTTTAAGGAAGAAAAGGTGATGTAGTTAGTCTTGTAAGAAATAGCCAAATTTAGAGGTCAATCGATGACATTCAGAAGTGACCTGAAGAATAAGCACATTTCATTGACTGAGAAATCGATTGATTCCCTAAACAGTAGAGTAATATATGTATAAATGAGTATTTGTGCGGTATATTCGGTAACACAATATACTTTCTTGTCCACTCTTGTGCTCTCATTCAAGTATTCAACCGAGGAGGGAGGGTTGTGCTTAGTACGTCGTGTATCAGTATCAGATTTCGGACACCACCTCGTCATAATAGATAGACAGAAAAATAAGACTTTTAAAACAATATTGAGCACTATATACATATTGACACTCAAAACTTCTTCATCATTTTCATTATCTCATCCATATACGGTTGTATAACACATTTTGTAAATAAATAGCGAGACTATAATTTATGAATGAACCAATCAGATATAAGAAAACAGCTCTCGGATTTTGGCGCAAAATTCACCCCTCCGTTTGGATAAATTGAGTTTCGGTATTATAGCTGATGTCAGTTCGTGATGAAAACCTATAATCTAATTCCTAACGTTAATCATCAACTGTAAATCATAATTCTAATTTGTCACACAGGTTTATAACCCTCATTTAATCCTGGTCATTAAGTGGACACTCTCAAGGTTACTTTGACGTCCGTAAATTATAGTCTCACCGGTCTAGAGAATGTTTCGAATCATTCCTTAAGGTCACCGTCTTGAGTATCGAATCAAACTGTAGTACTTATGATCACTTCACAATTTAATCTTATGAGGTTGATAACATATAAAAAAGATAAGAAGTGTATGAGCTACTGACAGTTAAACATAAATACACAGTGAATAATAGACATAGTCAATAGTTGAAACCATTAATGTTTCATCCAGTACTGAAATCTAGTTTTTTGGGGGTAGTCCTCAAAATCTCATATGTATCAGTGGATTTCTCAAACGATGTCCAATTACTAATATACGAATAAGTTATCTTAATGATAATGATGATTGCTGCCTGATTTACTGAAATCAGTATTAATTTCCCAGTAAAAGATTATAGAGGTTAGACCACTGTTGAAAACCTAGGAGCATTAAACGACCAATTTCACAGTTCCTGCTTGCTGGGTTGTGGATGCACACTACTGAATTGTCTCATTCTATGGATGAAACAGTCATCCAGTGATTCTAGGTTATCAATAGTAATCTAACTTTGATCGATTCATGATTTCAATGAAATAATAATTTCGTCACAATGAGGATTTATAGAAATTGCAGTTATTTAGTGGTTGAATTCATGAGTCAATTAAAGTTACACCACTGTGAAGAACCTATAGGCATTGAAAGACCGTTTCATCATAGTGTAAAACTTCTCAGTACTATGCATCTACAATCCTACGTGCGAGAATGAAGATCTTGGTATTAGATGGTGGTTGGAGGTAGTCAACAGGAAACCCTGGACTCGGGTTTCGTGCTACTTGACACTCGTCAGCAAGGTGTACCTGTAATCTTGAGGGAACTGGTGCTCCCTGGCGGATTCGATATCGTGTCACCCAGCTTCACAGTCAGAGACGTTACCACTGAGCTATCCGAGCCGTGACTAACCTCCTGTAGGACAGAGATGTAATCACAATTGATTGATCACTGGGTGGTGATCAATCTCATGCTTGTCTAGTCCTTCGAATCCGCCAGGGAGCACCAGTTCCCTCAAGATTATAGGTACACCTTGCTGACGAGTGTCAAGTAGCACGAAACCCGGGTCCAGGGTTTCCTGTTGACTACCTCCAACCACCATCTAATCTCAATACATAGTGCCCGCAGTGTCGAGTCACCTAGACTGGTGGCCACATTGCAACATGATCGATAGCATTCGATCTGCACTATTAAGGACTAGACAAGCATGAGATTGATCACCACCCAGTGATCAATCAATTGTGAAGATCTTGGTTTCGAACAACCTGTTCGAAATTTTAATGAAATCATAATTTTGTCTAAAGCGCTAGTTTTCGAAAGTTCAGATATTTGAATTTATATTTATTATTTTACATATAGACTACTACTGATTGAGATCATGAACCGATTGACGTTAGACCACCTTTGGAAACCTGGAAGCACTGGACGACCGTATCTAACATCACTATCACCATTGGATGCCGGCTCAGTCGTCCAGTAGGTTAAGCGTTCGCGTGCGAGGCCGGGGGCCCAGGGTTCGAATCCCGCGAGCGAGATCATGGATGAGCACTGCTGAGGAGTCCCATAATAGGACGAAACGGCCGTCCAGTGCTTCCAGGTCTCCAAAGGTGGTCTAAAATCAATCGGTTCATGATCTCAATCAAAAACATAATAATCTCCATAACCACTATACTAGACTACTATTGTAAATCTATTTATTTGATTCATTGTTATTATAAACTTGATTCTAATATGAATCTATAATGAAAGCAGATTCTAGACACTTGAATAATTAACTAAGTTTTATAGACAAATGAATTAACCAATCATTAAAGTGTTCTTAATGCTTATCATTCTATTCTATGTACTTAATCACATTTAAGTATATGGATAAACGTTTGACAAACTATTAAGATTGATGCATTAAGATTTAGATCTATTTACGGATCGTATCAACACAAAACTAATCAAAGTAACACTATCATCTTATTCATAATTAATGACTAATACAATTCAAAATGTATCATTATGTGTTGATAATATACAGATCCCTTCAATGATATCGGAATTATCATGGATGAATCAATCGGATTTATGTTCAGGAATAACAACTATGAAGATGACGGAGACAACAGAAATAGCGACGACAACGATGACAACAGCAACAACAACAACAACGTCATCATCGTCAACTTCATCTACATCTTGTAGTGATTATCATTTTGATGGATCACATCATTTACATATGTTATTTCGATATCCTCATAAATATATAGGAAAAATTCCAAAAAATATACCTAAATTAAAACAGAATCAAGAATCAGGTAAACACATATACTAAGATGGTGAAAAAGAGTTTTTTTTGATTTAATTCATTTTGTATTTTCTATGTGGAGTTTCATTCTTTGAATTGAATAGTTTGGTGTTGTGAAGCTTTCATTGTGAAGAAATTCTACCTGATGTAATCGAAGCTCTACAACTAGACTATCTAACTTAGAGAAAGAAACTCTACCAAAAAAAACACACACACATCTACATTAGATTGTTCGAGGATTGGTTGAGGTTAGACATTAACATCGTTGGATAACGGTCCGGCTCAGAGACTGAAGGCCCTGAGTTCGAATCTTGCGAGCTGGGATCGTGAATGCACACTGTCGCTGAGGAATCCCATAATAGGACGAAACGGCTGTCCAGTACTTCCAGGTTATCAATGGTGGTCTAACATCAATCAGTTCGTGATCTTAATCGTAAACTTAACCATTTCCACAACCCTATACTGTTAGATTGTTCAGTTCAAATAATCAATCGATTTGGAATGAAAACTTTGGTAAAAGTTTTAAATGTCAATCGATTAATCAGTTGTTATGGTTTCGACTATCGTTTAGAATAATAGAGGATAAGTCATCCAAAATTGTGAATTCTATGAATGGTTGTTTTAATAAAAGAGAACAATAACTCGATTGAACAAATTTTTTGATATTTCTGGGTATAAGCGCAGTTGTTTAGAGGGAGCATCGGTTTCCGGAAGCATATAGGTATACCGTATTGTTAAATAATGACAGATTATGAGATTTAATTTATGCTTACCATATCATCTATCACTCATCACTTCAATCACTTATCATGTTTAGGGATTTATGATTCATATTAAAGTTTATTGGAATCATGAACGAATCTAAGTATGAGAACTATTTAAAGTCTGGATACACTGAAAAGCCGTTTCGTCTTAATATGAGGCTACTAAACAGTAGGCAATTACAAACCTGAATACAGGAATCGAATCCAGGACCTTTAAATTCATGAGCAAACTCTTAACCTATAAACCCCTTAGTCGTTATCCAATGATTTACAAGTATAACTTCAGTTAATCTACAATTTTGTGCAATAACTTACCATTGCTTTCGATGGTCATATTACTCACATGCAACTCGATTGAACTCAACTAGTCATGGCTTGCCACTAGAACTTAAGGAATTTCCCTTAAAAGTTAGTCGCTAGTGTAAATATGATAACTGTTGTATGCGGAATGATGAAAATAGACCTATAATTAGATCTCTTTTTTTAACGAATTGTTGTCATTTGACATAAATTACTTATTTATGGTTAGCGTTTTTTTAGCGAGTTAGTTTTCTACGGAGTTGAGTCACTAACCCTTTGTCCAACCCTCCTCCTTTATCCGGGATTGGAACCGGCAGTAGACCCAGAGTGGCTGCAGGTGGAGTCGTGACATAAATTCCTCAAAATATATATCAAATTCTATGGATATTTATTTATAATTAAATTCAAAGGATAAATAAATTTTGAAATGAAGAAATAAAATCTAATGATTGATCAGTTTTGATACATCTTGACAAGTACTGCCGGATTGGGGGGTACCTTTGTATGACATTAAAAATTGACTGATCACTTATTCTGGGATGCCCTCTAAATGGGATATCTTCAGCTTATTCTGAGATTTTTAGAACTTCCTCAAGTTCACCTATAGGCTGTCCTTACAAGTTTACTTCCGAGAAAACAGTAATTCATTATGCTAAACATTGTGAATAGAAGTTAGAACATTCCTTCATTTCTAGTGTCAAAGATGATACTTGGTGATACATGATAAATAAACATTATCATAGATTTTCAGTTCTTATATAATGATGATTTGAATGATTTACAAGTGTACATCTATCATAAGTTACAGTAGACTCGAAATATTCAAGTGGTTACAAAAGAGGTTTCAACTAACAATTGAATGCATTCTATGAATGAAGTTAAATAGTCTGTGTGATAGATTGACTTATTATCAGTGAAAGAAATAGGATTTTTATGTAATTACCTGGTCGTTCCGTCCTATTATGGAACTCCTCAGACAGTATGCATCCACAATCCCGCTCGTAGGACTCGAGCCCAGGGTCTTAGGATTACGTTTATTAACAGCTGACACTCTATATTGAAGATGATCTTCACTCACTCACTCACTCACTCACTCACTCACTCACTCACTCACTCACTCACTCACTCACTCACTCACTCACTCACTCACTCACTCACTCACTCACTCACTCACTCACTCACTCACTCACTCACTCACTCACTCACTCACTCACTCACTCACTCACTCACTCACTCACTCACTCACTCACTCACTCACTCACTCACTCACTCACTCACTCATTCACTTAATTTTTTACTTACTTACTTACTTACATTCTCCAGCCCACCTAGTGGTTCAGACGCTAACGGTTTATCCTTGTGGCACTTGTAATCGTTTATGGGTATCGGTCTAGTGGTTGATTAATTCGATCTCTACGACCCAGCTTACCGCTCTCGTTAGTCCATAGGGCAAGTCCTATTATCCAGGAGGCACAACGAGGACGGTGGGTCTAGCTTTACCCAATTTATTCAGTTCTATATCCTACAACGACAGAGTTATCCATTACTTCTTGATATTCAATGATAATCTTATCAAAATCAATTCTCAATGTCAAATCTACATTATTTGTTTATCTTTTCTTTATTCATATTCAGACTTAAAATATCATCAAATACAATCCAATAATGATTTACGTATAAAACTTGAACGTGAATTATCTCAAAAAGTACGTCAAGCTGTAAAAACTCCGCCACGTGAACGTATTATTCGTAGACGTTTAAATGAATTTCATTATGAAATAAATAAACGTTTAAAAAATGAAGAAAAGAAAAAACAACTTGTTATACAAATGAATGATAAATTAAATTTCAACGTAACAACAAATACTACTAATACAAATATAAGTAGTTTAAATAATATGAATAATATAAATGTGATGGATTTACGTATGCATCCAGAATCATATTATCAACATTTAAATTGGTCTAAAAAATCTAATATAAACATGAATAGTCAAAGTATATTATGGAATAAAAAGTCTGGATTATCAAAGAAAGAGATAAACAATTTAATATTTATACCTGTTACCGAAAATAATCATGAAAATAGTTACTATGATAATCAAATTTCTCTAGATAGTAATGAAGTGCATAAGAATGAAGTAAGTAAGAAAGCTCCTTTTTTTTCTAAAAAAAGATAAGTTTATAGATGTATTGATGAGTCAATTGAAGTTAGATCACCATGATAAACCTGGAAGTAACTGAACGGTTGTTTCGTTCTAGTATGGGACTACTCAGTAGTGCGCATCCATGATCCCGCTCGTGGGATTCCAACTCAAGACCTTAAGTCTCACATGCGAACACTTAACCTCTAGACCACTGAACCGGGCCGGTATTCGACGGTGTTAATGTCTAACCTCAACCAATCAACAGATTGTGGATGTGCACTGCCACTGAGGAGTCCCACACAATAGGACGAAACAGTTGTTCAGTGCTTCCAGGTTTTCAATGGTTGTCTAATATCAATAGGTTCATTGTTGATAATTCATTGAAATGAATCACTCTTCTTTTTTTTCTCTCCTCATAGGATAAATCTGATAGTAATCAATCATCATTATACTACTTAAATAACAATTCTATTAAATCCTATTTACATAACCATCATTCATTTAATAAACCACTCAATAATGATTCATTTATTAATTGTATATCAAATAATACTACTTATTCAAAATATCTAATGCATAAATTACATAATTATAAAAATACCATTCTAAACTTAAAACAATCCTTATTACCTATTTCATCTATTCATTCATCAACTTCTAATCATTTAGAATATAATTATGAATATGATCAATTATTAAATGATACATTTACATTTGATTGGAATATAAATGAATCAAATGTTGATCGGGATCAATCTATTGATAATGATCATAATGATGATCGTAATGATGATGATGATGATGATGATGATTTGGATCATACTATAACTAATCATATACATAATTATTATCAAATGAGATCTAGTTATTTAACTGATGAAGATATACAATTAATACATAAATATTATGAGAAATTATATAAGAATAAGAGGATATTAGATAGAATGAATAGAAAATTAGTAAAGAATCATTTATGTACACGTCAATCGATTATGGAAAAATTTGGACGATTAACTGATGGTGAAAAACAAGTAATATGATTGTTATTTTATAGTTGAATTCATGAGTTGATTGAAGTTAGATTACCATGGAAAAAAACCCTGAAAGTAAATGGATGACCGTTTTGTTCTATTGTGGGACTCCTCAGTGGTAATGCGCATCTATGATCCTGCCTCATGAGATTCGCGTGTGAGCGCTTAACCGTGGATGTGCACTGTTTAGAAATCCCATACTAGGACGAAACAATCGTCCAGTGCTTTCAAGTTTTCTATAGTGGTCTAGCTTCAATTGATTCATGATCTCAACTATTAAAATTACTAAAATGTGCACAGAACACCTTCTGATAATAATTGATATTTTTAGATGTGTGTATGTGGGTGAGGGGGTGTTTTGTGAAGACTTTCAGTAATTTTTTTTAGTTGGATCCATAAGTTCATTAAAGTTATACTACTGGTAAAACGTTTTTAAACGAGAGACAAATAGATTCTGGGTTGGAATTCTACGGGTGGTATTGTAGATGTGTATCTCTAAGGAGTCCCATATTAGGATGGAACGACAGTTTAGTGCTTATAGGTTTTCCATAATGGTCTACTTTTAATCGACTCATGAATTCAATTATTAAATCATTAAAATCTCCGCAAAACCCCCCTTTTTGATTATAATCATCATCTACTCGCGAGTAACTGGCTTCAAGAGGTATTTCCTGAAGTTCTGGTGACAATCCGTGACCAGTAAAGTTCAATAGGGTTTGTTGTGAGATAGTAACACACTGAAGACAATGGTGGACGGTGGTGTAATTTATATTTGTTTATTCTTACTTAGAATATATGCGTTTTTTATTGTTAGTATTATTATTATTATTTATTATTGGGCCACGTGTTACGTATGCCTGAACACCGATTACCACGACGTGCAATGCTAACCGGTGTTGGAGATGATTGGAAGAAAGTTAGGGGCGGCCAAACCAAAACGTGGCATCAGTCCTTGAAGTCACTAACTTCTAGTCTGAGCTATGTTGGGAGATGCAGACTACTTGGTTGGGGTCCGCGTGACTGTCTTAACAAATGGTTGGAGACTCTCGGTGACATGGCTCAGAATCGATCACAATAGCGTCGGTGTATGCACTCTCTGTCTTCCCTTAAACTAAGAGATTAAAATCGCTTCATATCTTTCTTTCTACGAACTAATTCTTTATTCCTGTACTATATCCTTATACCCAATCCTCTTTTATATATTACAACCACTGAACTAACTAATTCTATGAATCCGGTGTCCATCTTGTTGTGTTAATGAGGTACGGTAACTTGGACCGACGCATATATGTGCCTGATCCTACGTTGTAGCTGACTGACTGACTGACTTGAATGAATCTAATAAGATTTTGATTCCATAATAATTATTCGATCATTATCTATTCCATTACACATAATCTTGAATGTTTTTATATAATCTGAAATTGATCAATTACATAGAAATGGTATTAAATGATTGACAGTTTTAATGATACTTAAAGTCACTAATAACTTTAAGAATATCTATAGCTGAGAGTTAGATATTCGAATATTATAAGTTTGGTATTTATAACTTCCAGTAATATTTTATTCAGATAGAATAGTTTACATAATCAGCAAAGATGGATAGTGGCTAGCAATAGAATCCAGGACACGCGTTTCGTCCCATTTGAGACTCATCAGCTGGATGCAACAGCATCTCAGAGTTAACTTAAACTTCAGGTGATTGAACAAGCAAGTGGCTATCAGGATTCAGTAGCTAAGTGGATAACTCGATGGAGTTTGAGGCGAGTAGTATTGAGTTCGAGTCCCAGAGTGAACATCAACTCTGAGATACATGTATATTCGGCTTATGAGTCTCAATGAGGAAGAAACGCGCGTTCTAAACTTCAACGTTAGCCACTATCCATCTTTGTTTATAATGTTTGTGAATTGATGCAATATCGAGGCAATACTCACAGTATGCACATATACCAATAAGAGATTGATCAATTGCAGTGCTAAACATTGATGGGAAGATTCAAGTAAGCAATACCAAGTGAGTTTACATAATATATTTAATTTAATTTATAATGGTTTGGATTGTCGCGTTGTTAAGTGACTATCTGAGAGTTAGTAGCTAAGTGGTTAAAGTGTTGGTGTTTGAAGCGGGAGGTATTGGGTTCAAATCCCTGAGTTGTAGGTACATCTAAATGACGAGGTCCAAATAAGACAAGACACAAGTTCTATATTCCAATGTTAGATACGGAATCGATTGGTTCTACAACAAAAGTAAAGCATATAGACTATCTTGGATAACTTCTTAACCAATTAGAAGTGTTTTTTTTTTGGTTATGACATCCGTTAACTAAGAGTAATATGAATAATAAATCTTTATTCATAAATCATTACGGTTTTTATCACGAAATAACATCAGATATAGTGCAGGAATGTTTTGTAGATGTGAAGTCTTCCATCCGTTTATTTACTGTTCAAAAAGTGTACAGTATCCAAGACTTTCAGATCTATTTCCTGCATATAAAAGTGTAATTTCCACAAGAGACTTCATTTTAAGAATTTGAAGTTATCCACAACTGTCTGCCATGAATACGTCAGTTTAACTCAATCCAATATGTCAGATAAAAAACTGGAATTATGAGCTTGAAAATCTTCAATGCAGCTTTCATCACCTAAATGAATGAACAGATATCCAACAGCTCTGGACACTGAAGAATGGCCCTGGTACGACCGACAGTGAGAAGAGTAAGTTCCCTCTTTTCAAATGCTCTCAAATGCCCACGTATATACAGTCATCGATAGGGAAGTCCTACTCACTACCTTCTCACAACATTATTGTTATTTACGAAGTTGAGAAGACAAAAAGCAAATATCCTGCGCTTTAACCGGTTTGGCGGATATAGAGAATCTACCTACCTGTAATCTTGGTGATCTGTCCGTCGTGGTGTAATAATAGACGTAATCAACATTTTGTATTCACCTTACGATTAATACACCGTTGAGGTGTTATCTAGTGAAGGTTATCAGGACGAATAGTATACGAAGTTTAAAGATTATATTGATATACCGACCACCATACATTCCAACAGCTGCCTTAGTAACTTAATAACGAAATCTCATCTTTGGTTGTTCTTTTTTGTTGGTTTCTATGATATTCAACTTTAATCTTAAATGAGTTGTACTTCTTTACTTTCATTTAAAACGTTTATTATCTTTGTAATGGTCAAATGAAATTTTAAAAGTACAATTGAAGTACTCATTAAATTACTGAACACAGTAAGGGGTTTAGACAAGTTACACAAGTTTATAAATAAGTAGACTTTAATTCAGATCAATGTGTAAATGTAAGGTGATTCAAATATGAACTCAATATGAATAGGTCAGATGCTTTTTTTTAATGAGGGGCGGGGGAGTTAATTTCAATATAAAATGAGAACTTTCACTTTACTACTTGTGTAGTAAATGAGAACATAAGTGGGGACAATCAAATGTATTTGAATATAAAGTTACAGAATCTCTAATTAACATCTGAGAACTGTACAGTAAACAAAGATGGATAGTGATTAGCAGTGAGATTCAGTAAGACACGTGTTTGGTCCTAATTAGGACGAGTTAGCTGGATGTACCTGTATCTTAGAGTTGATGTTCACTCTGGGACTCGAACTTAGTGCCGTTCACTTCAAATGACATCGTATTATCCACTTAGCTACTGAGTCCTGATATCCACTTGTTTGTGCAATGAGGTGAAGTTTTTATAAATTCACTTGGTACTGTTTACTTGTACCTTCTTATGCAGTAAACAATTCATTTGCAAAATACCCATTAATTGTCTCAGACTTTGTTGTTTCTTCGTCTTCACACCAATCACTCTATGTTCTCGTTCTATTTTCTTCAAACTTCTTAATCTTCTGCCGTCAGACATTTTTGCTTTCGATTAGTGGGTGATACATACTACTTATATCTGTCGACATCAGTAGAACATACCACATTTGTAAATGCTTTGTTCGAATGATTGGATTTTTTATGTTCCGATAAGCATAATGAATGGTAACTTTTGGGATCCATTTGTGAACCAATACTATACGTATATTTTTTATTGTATAATTGTTAAGTAACTAAATTATTCATATTCGTGTTCTTCGTATTACAAGCTTTATTTAGACCTATGAACTATTATTATACGATTTACCATTCTTAAATTATGCCCTGTCTATTAATTACTATCTCCCACATTCACAGCCACTTTTGGCTAAATCTTGTACAGATATTGTTTCCTATTTTATGGTACGATGTGATCTGTTTGGTTGGTATATAAACCCAGTATGTTTGAAATAAATGATTCATATTGCAGAGGCCGAGATTGGTGTTCTGGACTTAACTGGTTGTGATAGACAGGAAGCAGGACCGTTAAGTACTCTCGACTGCTCGTGTGGGGCTTTATGTGTCATTGGTCCGATTGATAATTCACTACTCTCTAATTGGGGCGATATCATTACGTTATACATTAGTAGGACACAGAGCACAAATTATAACACAATTCGATACTAGAAACCTGTTAGAAAATTTTATTCTAATTAGGTATATGACTTGACTTTTGTATGAATGAAATACACGTATTCATTCAATTGAAATACACAAGATTCTCTTAGGAAGCTGAAAAGATGATCACACAGCATAGTTTATTGATTGTTTGACAATGTGATCATTGTGAGGAATATATGGTAGTTAAGCCAAGATGATATGAGCTTAATATGAGAGAATGAAGGAAAGAAAAACATATTAAGATACGCTTGAGTTGCTGAGACAATCCAAGCTAGACCACCATGAAAAACCTGGAAGCACTGTATGTGCACTGCTGAGGAGTCTGGTGTTATAACTTCAAAGTACTCGATAACTGTTTGTTCCCGTTTGAAGTTTCTTCAATGCTATTAATCTCGTTTTAAGATAAATAGTAAGGAGGATAAAAGATCTTCTCTTATTAGATAGCAAATCAACTAGGAAAATAAATACTGAGATTGCTAACTGACTTAAATTAAACAATCATCGAAAAACTAAGAATCATTCGTCACGCATTTCGTTTTATTATGTCACTCCTCAGCACAGAGAGTTCATAATTATCAGGTGTAGTTTGAGGTGTTAAATCTTTTCACCATCGAGTCGGCATTCAATAATTTATATGTCTAAATTCAATCAATTTTCAATACTGAGCAATCATCTTCCATTGTCATTGGTCAACAACTAATTTACACCAAGGTTGGTTGAATTCCACTGCTAGAATTACCCCTCGAAGTTAATTACTAATGAGCACATAAATATTAACAGTCATGGGTCTTTTGAAGACTGTTGGATTTTCATAATTTCTATTATAGGTTGATCTCAGTTAGACATTCAAATCATTGAATATAGGATCAGTGGTCTAGGGCTCCGGACCTGAAGGTCGTAGCAACGAACGTATAATAGAATGATAAGGCTGTACAGTGTTTCCCTGTTTTTAGTAGTTGCCTAACTGAAATTGATTCGTGATCTTTATTACTTTCAACAGTCTCCATAAATCACCTAAGCGAGACTATAATTTCTTTACAAATCAATCAAACTGAGGATAACAGAACTTGGATTTTGGTGCGAAATTTATTTATTCATTTGTCTAAATAGTGTTTTGGCACATTAGCTGATGTCAGTCAATGATGAAAATCATAAACCCAGTTTCTAACCCTAACCACTGAATGTAAATCGTAATCCTATTTCTTCAAACTGCTTTGTAACTCTCATTTAGCCCTAGTAAGTATGTAGACATTCTCAAAGTCATCAAGGCATCACTCAAAGGTTGTCCATAAATTATAGTTTCACCGTCACCTATACTGAAAGCAATAATTATTTCCATGTAGTCTAAAGTCCCTAAGTGCAGTGGTTTGACCAAGGGTGGGGAGAGTCAGATCTCTCTCTCCAAATGCTCTCACATAGCCATGGGTATACGGCCACCGACAGGAAAATCATACTCGTGGCGAGGGTGTTGTCTATGAAACTGAGAAAAAAAAAGCGAATGTCTGGCGCCTTAACCGGGTTCATGGATAGGGGAGTTGGAAAACCCTGATTCCAAACCATTGGTGCAAATGAGCTCCTGAATCCTGAAGGAAATAATGGCGTATGAACCAATCGTTGGTCGCTGGTTCCTGATACTACTTCACCACCTTACCGATTGGACCTTTAGTCCAAAGACCCCGGGTGTGCCCCCACCCCACTTAGAAAACCACCTGCTTGGATCTGGTACCCGGAAAGTATCACAGTCCACACACAAATCAAGTGGCTTGTGTGGTGCATATTTGTTCAGTGCCTCCTTTATACCAATATTTATGTGTCCTTTTTTTTAATTTTTGTTTTCAATCTATACAGTTGTTTTATTTCAGTGGTACTAGAGCAGCTTATCTAATGGCTACAATTCAATCTCAATATAAATTACCTGATGGTACACAATATCGTTTAATGAATCAATCAACTAATAAACCATTAGATTATGTAATAATCAATAATTCATTTATTGATCAAACGATAAATGATTCTTCTTCTTCTTCTAAAGTTAATAATTTTAATAATCATAATACCCAAACAACAAATTGTTCATTCAATACACTTCCTACATTGATCGATTGGAATGCAGTTGTTCGTGATAGACATGGACCATTTTGGCCACAAAATTATGGACCCATCTGTCAAACATTATCTAATTTACATATAGAAACAAACAATTCGAATAATTCTAATGGTAAGATTAATTTTAAAGATATCACATGTGATGTGAATATTACTTAATTGTTGAAGACTAGGGTTGCAGACGGCCGTTTCGTCCAATTGTGGGGACTTTTCAGCATAGCGAATCGACGATCCCACTCAAGAAATTCGGATCCAAGGCCTTCAGTCTCGCGCGCAAAAGCTTAACCTACTGAACCATTGAGCTAGCATCCAATGGTGTTAATGTCTGACCTCAACCAATCCGCGAAATCACACGACCATCTTCCATTGTACTGAGGTAGACACCTGTTTCTACCCGACACGGATTAACTCCATTCGTCACGGTTTCTCATCAGAACTCCGACAATTTTCTCACGAAGCTAGTCACTACTGAGCACATGGTAATTATCAGTTTAAAGGTTGTGGAAATTGTTACGTTTCTGATTGAGACCATGAACCGATTGAGACTGAAGGCCCTGAGTTCGAATCCGGCGAGCGGGATCGTGGACGCGCACTGCTAAGGAGTCCAACAATAGGACGAAATGACCGTCCAGTGCTTCCGTGTTTTCAATGGTGGTCTGACATCAATCGGTTCATGATCTCAATCAAAAACTTAACAATCTCCACAACCCCTAAACTGATAGTTTATATATCGTTATTCTTTATGGGGTTCAATAGCTTGATTGATACGAAAATATTGGGTTGTTAAAACTTACGACTAGCCCAGTATGAATTATTCTAACCCAATCTTATGTACATCTAACTTAAGGTTCTGAATTTGAACGATGTTATGACTGATCTACGGATTACTCTCTTATAACTTAATACTGGATCACCGAAACAATAATCATGAAAACAACTGAAATGATCCACATCTATTTAACAGAATTACCATTTGATTGAAATAGGATTCAGGTTGTTACAGTACTATACAATAAAATGCTCAGTTTATAAGATTAGTTACTTCAAATACATATGTACAATTGGCATCTCTAAATATTTATATGATATGATTTACAATTGAGGCGCTGAGTAACGTTGTTCCAGAATGTTTCAGGGATAATCCATTAACCGAAAGAATCAAGTGTTGTTAACAGAAATGGATAGTTGCCAACAGTAGAATCCAGGACGCGCGTTTCGTCTTATTTGAGATTCGCCAATTGGGTGTACTTGCATTCCTCAGTTGATGTTCACTCTGAGACACAAACCCAGTACCATTCACTTAAAACTCCATCATGCTCTCCACTTAGCCACTACCTTGTGCAACCGGATGATCAGTTGCATTCCTAAACATCAATGTGAAAGTTCAAACAACCAATACAAAAATCAATTAAAACTTCACCCCATAGCACAAGTTAGTAGCTATCTAGACTCAGTAGCTAAGTGGATAACGTGAATGGTACTGGGTTCGAGTTTCGAAGTGAACATCAACTGGGGAATGCAAGTACACCCAGTTGAAGAGTCCCAAATAAGACGATACGCGCGTCCTAGATTCCACTATTGGCGACCATCCATCTATGCTTATAATGCTTTTGACTCAAGTCAATTTTGTTTACCGTTGGTTCATTTACTCATTAACCTTTTTTTATTCTCTAGTTAATAAACCAACCATTTCTGATTACACTGAAGAGATTAATCAACTAAAAAACAAGCAACCTTATTTCAAAGAAATACGAGTTATTTTCGATTCAGAGTGTAGTCCTTGTTTATCAGGAACACTGAGCACATCAATATCACCTTCCTTGAATATAAAACAATTAGTTGAAGAGTTAACCAACGTTCAACAATGGACACCACCATGTTTAGTCTTTGAATCGAGATTTGAATCAGGAAATCTACGGCAAGTTAGACGAATGTAAGTAAAATGGCAACAATGCTTTTATAAAAGAATAGAATAATTGATCTAATTAAAGTAGTTTCAAGTTCTGTTAAGAGGTGAAAACAATTGTCATCTGCCGGTTGTTCAGACAGTAGAAACATAATTCTTAAGGAATTTTAAAACGATACTCGATCATTAGGAAGGTTTTGATGATATGAAAGAATGATAGTATAGTTCATTGGGTAGTTATTTGGGGCCAGCCTAATTCACTACCTTTTCGTAAGTTTTAGATGAGTTAGCGCTGTACGTATAAGACCTTACTAACAACGACGGAAGTCTGTATGTCAAGAAGACGGTGTATTCTTTCTAGATGAGAATATCTTGAACCTCTTCCCGCCATTGTGAAAAGGCAGAGACACTGCAGATTCTATTTTTCTGGAAGAAACAGCAATTGAGACAAGCATCATATGAATTCATCATATTTCGTAGTTTTCTTATATATTTTGATGATGAATTACTTTCATGAAGAAGCTTGAACCAAAATGAAGATCATTAAGATTCTTACAAATGAAATTTCTTTGAAACTATTGACATGGATTAAACAACTTGATGTTTTTATGAAAAAGTGAACTTTAAAAGTACATTACACTTTGAAGAATATAAGATCACTGATTTAATTAATCACCTTTCAGGTCAGTTTGTTTTTTTGCTGTAGCACAAAATGAACTCTTTTTTTGTTGTTGTGAAATTCGTCAGGTCAATAAAAGGACACTAAATCTTTGTGATATTTTGTAGTTAGGTAAGCTCTGTGATATGTGATCAATATTTTCAAGGTCAGTTATACTTAATTACTTACTTACTTACATACGCCTGTTACTCCTCGTGGAGGAGTATAGGCCGCCCACCAGCACTCTCCATCCAACCCTGTCCTGGGCAGTCCTTTCCAGCTCTTTCTAGTTGTTATTCATCCTTTTCGCATCTGTTTCTATTTCCCGACGTAATGTGTTCTTTGGCGTGAAAGAGAAAGAAATATGACATGGTCATCAGGGGGAATATAGCAAACCAGAGAGACTGGTAAAAGACAAAGAAGGCAAGCCGATCAATGAGATTCAAGATTTGAGGAACAGATAGGTAGATCAGTTTGGGAAACTCTTGAATAGGTCAGCTCCATTGAATCCACGAGACATCGAAACAGCACACCCAAACCCTCCTACAGATGTCACTGCACCAACGATCCTGGAACTCGGGATGGTGATCAGACAAATCAAGAGTGGGAAAGCAGCAAGACCTGACAATATACGAGTCGAAGCACTGAAGTTAGACATAGAAGTAACTGCATAGGCGCTCCACATTCCATTCAGGATGATTTTGGATAAAGAGCTAATGCCGACAGAATAAAGAGAAGGACACCTTATGGAGATACCAAGGAAAGGAGATTTGAGCGAATGTGAGAACTACACAGGCATTACACTTTTGTCAGTACCAGGAAATGTTTTCAACAGAGTGTTGCTGGATTGGTTGAAAGATTCAGTAGATTCTCGAAGTCATCATAGGTGTACATAGATGGGACAGCTGTCCAATGCTTCATTTTGTTTGATGTCAGTGGTCGATGAGAACTATTCACAGATAAGCTATCTTAATGAAATTTGTCTCAAAAAAGTTTAACTATCCAGTGGTTTCTTTGTATAAGCATCTAGAAAATTAATCTCACTACTGTGTATATCTGAAGTAGGCTATTTAGCTGATACACGAAAAAATATGAGGAATGTACAAATCTAATTATTAGTAAAAAGTCTTCAGTTGGTTCAAAATGCACGATACTATCAAAGATCAAACCGAAGACTTTCTAGTCTTTTAGCTAGGGATTAACCTTATAATCTTTGTAGCGGTATCTGACCGGTTGATCACTGGTAAGTATCATGAACTGATTGAACTTAAACTTTAATATACTTACATAGTCTAATCATGAAAAGAAAAACACCTACAATTCACATCTTCTTTCTTGTTCCAGTTTATGAGAACATGTTGGGAAGATAGCATTAAGTGTTTCCATAGTAGGCTTAATAGGTTGCAAACAGTTGATGAGAACCCAACGAGTTAAATCCATGAGCTCTAAATATTACTTCAATGTTCTGGAACTATCCCTCCAAAGCTTTATTTATTTCAAACAAACAATTTTCATAATCTTATTGAACTCTATTGAACTCTTCACTACTTCATAATATACATATTCCTACCTAATCACCCTCGTATATATAAGTATGTTAATATCTGTGATCTTAAAATATTTTAGTTTGTAAGTAGCTGATGAGAATCTAACAAAATAAAATGAATCCACATTATTCTGCATTAATCTTCGTTCTAACTTTCTTTAAGAACTAATAATGTTCATGACCTGGTAAGGCTGAGGGTGAGAAGAGTTAGCTCTCCCACGGGAAATGCTCACATATGGCCACGCTTATACAACCACTGACAGGGAAGTCCTACTCACTGTCTTCTCGCAGCATCATTGTTGTTTACGAAATTTAGAGGACGTAAAGTGAATGTCCGGCACTTTAACTAGGTTGGTGGACACGGAGATTCCACCTAGCGGAGTCGGTAAACCCTGATTCCAAACCAATGGTGCACATGTCCTCCAGGATCCTGAAGGAACAGATATTGTATAAACCAGTTGTTGATCGCTAGCTACCATGCGACTGCATCGCTTGACGTCGCTCCACTGCCTATTGGATCGAACCATGAGATCGAAGGCTCAGGATGTGACTCCCTATGAGAACCACCTGTTTCCATCTGGGCACCCAAACATTATCCCAGCCTTTATACAATTCGAATGATTGATGTGGTGCATATCTATTTGATGCCACTTTGTGCCAATGTTTATGTATTCAAATAAATAAATAATGTTCATATAAATAGACAATCTCCATGGATACTGTAGAAAAAGTCTTTTCCCCCACTTTTTTTTCTTTCTTTTTTTGAATCATTTTCTTTTTAGAGGACCATTTCATTATGAATTATTATTAAAACCGGATCTATATACAAAACGTCATGTACAATGGTATTTTTTTCGTGTACAAAATATACTTCCTGGTTTTATTTATACATTTCTTATTGTAAATTTTACAAAACCAACAAGTTTATATTCACAAGGTTAGTTGAAGAAAACAAAATGTTTTTGATAAGGTTTTATTATTTAAACTGGATAGTTTGATTGTGGAACTTTCATCAGTTTTGTGAACGATATCATTAGCACAAACTTCAGGTAGAATTCTAGAAAGAACAAAACTCCATGAGAATCATTCACCTGAGCTACAAATCTTCATCATTTAAAATGTTTCCTCAATATATGATAATCTCATGAGTGAACTGATGCTAGACCACTATGAAAAACTTGAAAGCACTGGACGGCCGTTTCTCCTTATTGTGGGACTCCTCAGCAGAGCGCATTCACGATCCCGTCTCGCGAGATTCGGACCCAGGACCTATTAGTCTCACGCGTGGTCGTTTAACCTCTAGAACACTAGCTCGCTCAATTACGTGGATTAGTTGAAGTTAGACATAAACACTGTTAGATACTGGCTCAGCTTTATTTTGACTTGTGGACTATTATTATGAGACTAACTATTCTCTATTATTTTCAGTCTCCCACATTCACAGCCACCTTTGGCTAGATCTTTTACAAATGTTATTTTCTATTTTATGGTGTGATGTAGTCTGTTTGGTTTGTATATAAATTACGTATGTTTGAAATACATGATTGACATCACGGAGGCTGAGACTGGCGTTCTAGACTCAACAGGCAGGGCCATGCAGGAGGAAGGATCGATAAACACTCTAAACTGCTCGTACTGGTTTATGCATCTTTGGTTCAGTCGATAAGTCACTGTTCTCTAATTATCGGTGTCATTATGTTATACATTAACACTGTAGTGAACGAGAACACAAGTGGGGATGATCGAATGTATTTGAACACAACACCACAGAACATCTTAGTAAAACCTGAGAACCATATAGTGATTACATAATTTGCATAACATTAATCAACTGTTTCAAACTTGACTGCTCCTTCTGAAAATATCGGTCAGTCGTTTCAGACTTCAGTGTCTCTGTATTTCCATACCAATTGCTTTCTGTTCCCCTTCTTTCCTCCTCGGTCTTCCTGAGCTTCTGCTGTCAGATATTCTATTCCTGACTAGCGTTATGTACTACTTACATCGATATAAGTAGCACACACCACAATAGGGCACAAAGCCACAAGTTATAACAAACCTTGACCATTTTAATAACTAGATATAGATAATATTCACTTATTTCTCAATACGATATATATTATCTTTTATTGTGCTTTGGGTCTTGCCCATAAACCTAATGGGTTCACTCAAAGTCGCCAGTATGTTTTCAGTTTCAGTTTAGAAAGGACTGGATGCTTGTTGGCCAGTGTTAGTCATGGCAATGATTGTCTCTCAGTTGGTCTAACTTTCTTTTGAAAGCATTGATAGATGAAGCTTCAATCACGTGTTGAGATAATGAACTGCACCCGTTGATGATTCGATGGGAAAGTCGATAGTCAGCTGGCAAGTAACTGCTGTGGGGTCCCACAATAAGACGAAACGACCGTCCAGTACCTCCAGGTTTTCCATGGTGGTCTAGCTTCAATAGACTCATGATCTCAACTATTAAAGTTACTAAAATATCTACAAAGAAACCCTTCTGATATTAACCAACATATACACAACCGTGATCGGCTTCAAGAGATTTTTCCTGGAGTTCTAGTGAGAAGCAGTGATCAGTAGAGTTCAATCGGGTCTGTTGTGAGATAGCAACCCACTAAAGATAATGATTTACGGTGGCTCAGTTTCGTGGATGAGTTGAAGTTAGACATTAACATCGTTGGATACCGGCTCAGTAATTTAGAGGTTAAGCGTTCGCGTGTGAGACCGAAGGTTCTGGTTTCGAATCTCGCGAGGCGGGATGGTAGACACGCGATGCTGAGGAGTTCCATAGTAGGACGAAACGGCCGTCCAGTTGATTCCAGGTTTTCCATGGTGGTTTAATTTTGATTGATTCATGAATTCAACTAATAATCTCTTAGATAGTTTGTACCAATTAGGTGTAACTTTTGAAGAGTATGACAGGTCTGAAATTTCGTACAGTGCGATAATTATATTCGTTATCTTCTGTATAAACTTCGTATAGATTTTTACAGTAATCTTGTGTATCTTCTAACTTATATGATATTTATCAACTAACCATTAGGTGTAGGTATAGAATCAGTAGATCCATAAGTGTCTTTAGTTTAATGATGACATGTTTTTGGAGACATGTATCTAAGTGGTCATTAGTGTGTAATGGTTCCCATTTCTACGAATTATAAGCTGTAGGATCAAGATGTAATTAACAGAGGTCATGTCAAACATAACAAAACCAGTTGAAGAATAAATTCCACATTTTCTAATTCCTAATTATTGACCTACTCACAACAATAAATTATGGTTATCAAATGATGAATTGATTGATTCCGGACTAAGGTCAAACGTTTATTCAATATATTATTAAACTTTAAACGTTTCCTAAACTATCTAAGAGTTTATTAGTTGAGTTCATGAATCAATTGAAACTAAATCACCATGGAAAACCTGGAAGCAACTGGACGGCCGTTTCGTCCTATTGTGAAACCCCTCAGCATCGCGTATCCACGATCTCGCCCCACGAGATTCGAACCCAGGACCTATTGGTCTCGCGCGCGAACTCGTAACCTCTTAGACGAAACGGCCGTCCAGTGCTTCCAGGTATTCCATGGTAGACTAGCTTTAAGTGATTCATGAATTTAACTAATAACAATTACTATAATCTCTACAAAACTCCTATTTAAAAGTTCTTTTAACAAAATGTAAGTTATTTGTCAAGGCAAGTACATTTCATAGAATAATGAGACATAAATAACTGAATAGTTTATTTCCCCTCAAATAGGTTTACAACCTTTATTGTATTCAAAAATGAATTATCAACAAAATGGTAAGAAATGGATACGTGTTGGAAGAAATATCAAGTAAGTATGATATTTGCCTGTTTCTAAATGTATGAGGAGTTGATTAAGTATGAAGACGTTTCCATTCGGGAATTTTACATAGATTTGTTTACTATACTTACTTACTTACGTCTTCTGCTCCCAATGGAGCAGAGGCTGCCGACCAGCATTCTCCAACTCACTTTATCTTGGGCCTTCCTTTCTAGTTCTATCCAATTGTTATTCATTCTTCTTATGTCTGTCTTTATTTTTCGGCGTAATGTGTTCTTTGGTCTTCCTCTTCTCTCTTGTCATTGGGGATTCCAAGTAATGAGGGCTTGCCTTATGACATAGTTGGGTGATTTCCTCAAGGTGTGTCCTATCCACTTTTGTCTTTTTGAAGGTAATTGAACCTGAGAGGTATTTCTGAAAAGTTATTATTTCCTTGTGTCGGCTTAAACAACGAACATATATTATTCCTGGTGATATATGTAATTTGCAGTTCTGTTTGTCGTATAAAATAATCTAATCACTAAAACGGTAGTTATGTACTACTGATATCGACAGATATAAGTAGTATGTATCATCCACCAATCGAAAGTGAAATGTATGGCGGCAGACGGTTAAGAAGATCGGAGGAAACAGAACGAGAACAGAGAATGATTACTGTGAAAATAAAGGAACAATGAAGCCTGAGATGATGGATTGATATTTTGCAGATGAAGAATTTATTGTACGGTCCTCAGATTTTACTAGGGGACTCTGTAAAGTTGTATTCAAATACATTTGGTTCTTCCCACCTGTGTTCTCGTTCACCACAAAACAAATGTGATTAAATTGATATGAACTTCCCCGTAGTTGAAATGCTAAAAAACTGGAAGACCTCACTTTGCTACAAACCAGTTTTGACATTGATTGTAAATCATCGTAAGTACTTCTGATTGTTAATATAGAGGCGATCCAAATACACATTGGAAACCATTCATTCTTTGATAGTGAGTAGAGCGGCTGGCACTATGTCAAGCCAACATAACTTATTCTAGCTTTCGGATGGACTAATTTACTCATTCTTCTTCCGTCGCATCTTGACCTTGTTAATTATTCTCTTCGTCTCTTGTTTCGATTTAGTTCGCTTCACCTCGCTTCACTTCGATTCGATTTGACTATAATAAGTGAGTTAGCTAACCCGCCTTCCCCGATTCCCTTCGCCTCGGTTTATTTTCCTCTTTGTTTCGTTTCTCTGATTGTCCATCTAGATCGACGATTGTCAGAAATATACTTATTCAAAATCCATTCTCGTATGTGACTTATTCAATTCCGTTATTGGCTAACAAGAGTTAAGTCGATAATCATATACGAGGATCTATAATATGTCTACTTCAATAACAATCAATCATACGATATTACTGGAGTCAGATCCGGGGCCATTAAATTAGAAGTATCCCGTGATAAAATCGGCAAAAATTGGTAAATATTTTTAGTATGATAGGACATTTCAACAAATCGGTCGGATTTCTGAAATAGATCTGAGATTCGGGGTTGCTGACCCCATGTCCAACCCTCCTCCTTTACCTGGTCTTGAGACCGGCAGTAACTGTAGAAGAGTTACAGAAGGAGTTTTCTGAAACAGAGGAGGTAAATGAGATAATATTTTGCTTACTGATCAAGTTTGAATCCTAACTAATTTGTTTGCAGAAATTAGGACCGTTGACTAATTATCTGAATATATTCACAATGAATTAGATCTGTTATATTGGGAGTATTAGAGAACTCTTTGAAAAAGTCTACAAAAGCTGAAAAAGATAGAAAGTACTTCGTTTAATTAGCCTCCAATGGAAACTTTCTACATTTCGTTACAAAGTGTGACATGTTTCCAAAATCTTTTGGAGTGTCAAGGTCATTCGTAGACCTGTAAATATCCTTGTAAACAGAGACGAGGCTCGTTACTCAACGAAATACCGAGGCAATCTGCATAGGACGTACATATGTTAATAAGAGATTGATCAGTTACAGACGTATACATCCATTGGATGAACTATAAGTATGCTTGCTTTCTTCACTTAACCAACATACTTCTCACCTTTTGTCATTCATTTGTGATCCAAGTGTAAGAGATTTTGGGATATTAGGGAATGGTTAGAAAGTCAGTAACAAGCGTTCAAGCACCAGCTATTCAAATAAATTAAAATGTTCAACGGAAGTACTATGATTATAAGTTTATCGATTAGAGAATAAATAATAAGAGATTGAAATTAAGGTCATAAGTCGACCAATGATCATTCACTTCTGTGCCATAATTTTAAATATCAACTACAATATTTGAAAATCACCTACGTGACTGGACCCCTCCCCTTCCACATATACACATTCATGCACACTCATGCATAACGTAATAAATGTGTAAGTACAATATTGAGGAGCGTCGCATTTCTACAACTGAAGAACGTATGGAACTCAAAATAACTGTCTTACAACAAAAATCAAAGTGAAAATCTTCAATACGAACGTCAAGACAGTTCTACCGTACGGGGCTCAAACCTGAAGAACTACTACAACCATCATCGAAAAGGTACAAGTATTTATGAACAATTGTTTACGTAAGATATTCAATACCAGTTGACCGGATACCGTCAACAACAACCTACTATGGGGGATAACAAACAAGCCTCCATTTGAAGAGGAAATTAGGAAAAGATATTGGAAGTGGATAGGACACCCATTGTGGAAATAGCCAAAGTACATCCGGAAGCAAGCCTTAACTTGAAATCGTGAAGGTAAACAGAAAAGAGGAACACCGAAGAACACACTACATCGAGAATTGGAAGCAGACATGAGAAGTATGACTAGCAGCTAGAAAGAACTGGAAAGGATTACCCAGGACAGAGTTCAATGGAGAATGTTTACACTCAGAACCATGTTCTACATGTAAATGAATATCATATGTTCAACACATAAACTAACGCAGAATACAGTATAGACACTACGGCACTCGAACATATCCAACCTCCACAGTCGCAAATCAAAAGACAAAAGAAGACTGGAGAAGTGTTTGTTGGGTAAGAATCAAAATGTACAGAAAATCATGGGTATTTATAGATATTAGTGTTTGTTATATCAACATTATATTTCAGCCAATCCGCAAAGAGGCATGTACAATAGTAGCATACCACATTGATATTTTAGAAAGTTCCATTACATTCTACTTAAATGGGAACTCTTTGGCTTATTTAGGTCCTCTGGAGGCTCCGTTGTAATTCTCGGAAACCATTCCAACATAACAAAGCTTAAAGGTAATCAGTTTAATCTCTATTGCAGGGATTAATGCTCATTATTGAGTAGTTCAATACTAAGGATGAAACTACTATCCACTAATCTCTAATATACAATTAGTTATCTAACCAAAGTCATTTCATTCTATCCATTATTATTACACTATTCTGTCCCTACTTTGTATATTCTCTCAGATATACACGTAATACAATGAATTTATCCAATCATTTACTTGATACAAATAGTGAATATTATCAATTGGAATGGGAAATGGTTAGTTTAAATTTGATAATATGTTTAATTGATGATACATTAATAGAAAATCAATAAATTAATGAACCTCTATCAGATAATAACTCCTCCTGTAGCCCCTCTGGGGCTACTGCTGATCCCGAGCCCGGATAAAGAAGGAGAGTTGGGCATGGGGTTATCGATGCCATCCCGTAGAAAACTAACTCGCTGAAAACACGCTAACCAGAAAAAATTATTTAAACCACTATCAGATAATAAGATAGTTTTTAGATTTGATTTCCAACATATTTAATACAACAATAAATATACATTGTCAACCGTTTTTATATACATATATTTATTTAAACGTACATAAACATTAGTACAAGAAGGCACCAAATAGATATGCACCACACAAGTCACTTAATTTGTGTGCGGGCTACGATACTGCCGGGGTGCCCAAACCGAAGCAGTTGGTCTTCTTAGGGAGCCACACCCCGAGTCTATGACCTAAAGGTCTAATCCACAAGGCAGTGGAGCAACGTGAAGAGATGCAGTCACATCGTAGCCCGTGACTAACTATAGGTTCATGCGCCATTTGTTCCTTTAAGTTACTGGAGCCCATGGGCACCATTGGTTTGGAATGAGGGTTTTCCAGCTGTCCTAAGTGAATCTTCCATATCCACTAACCCGGTTAAAGCGTCGGACATTCGCTTTTCATTCTCTCAATTTCGTAAACAATAATTATGCTACGAGCAGGTAATGAGTAGGGCTTCCCTGGTAGTGGCAGTATGCACGCGGCCGTTTGAGAGCATATGGAAAGGGAGAGCTGACTCTTCCAACCCTCGGTCGCACCAGGGCACTGGGGAGCACCCTTTTTGTAGACATCCTATTTGAGAACAAACAAATCTTACGTAATAGGTCTAACTAGATGAAATTAGAGAAGATAATTTTGTAGCAATAAGGAATTCCTATATAAACACGTCTATCAGATGAATTCAAAGTACTTTGTGCTAGTAGATTAAAGGAGAGTTAAGCAGGTTAAAAAATATGGTAAATATAGGATAAATTGAATGAAGAATTTTAGGGCAAAAATTAATAATCTAGCTATTAATAAATTAAACCAATTCTGAGGACAACAGAATATTTTGCAGAGTTATTTTTATCATCGTTACTTTAAAGGCATTATGTTATGTGGTTATCCTTGTCTAAGATGGTGGTTGGAGGTAGCTAACAGAAAACCCTGGATCTAGGTTTCGTGCTATTTGGCATTCGTCAGCAAGGTGTACCTGTAATCTTGAGGGAACCGATGCTCCCTGACTGATTCGACCCCGTGTCACCCAGCTTCACATTACCACAGAGCTATTCGGGCTGTGACTGACCTTTTGTAGGACAGGTACACCTTGCTGACGAGTATCACATGGCACTAAACCTCGGTCTAAGGTTTTCTATTGACTACCTCCAGCCCACCCCACTCTCGGCCATACCAGGGCATTTGGGGGCAACAGTTTGTTAGCTGGCATTTGTCTGTGAACTGAATCATTGGAGAGTTAAAAACCTACATCAGCCTTCCAATTGGACCATATATTGGCGCCAAATACAACCATAGCAGACCAAAATTAATATTCAATGTGTTGTTCCAAGTACTTTCAACTGTTTGGGTGATTGCAGTATGTTGGAATGTGATTTTATTTAATGAATTTAATATATGTGTCTGAAATTATCTATTACTGTTTAATATGTACATGTTAGTATAACATACTACAAGAGGTTGGATAAAAAAACACAAATAAGATGAAATTTAGAACTTCGAACAAAGTCATTAATCAAGAATGCACTGTAATGTACTGTAATCGTCTAATAAATGAACGTTTGAATTGTGGTGTATGTTACTGATATCGATAGATATAAGTAGTATGTATCATCCACCAATCGAAAGTGAAATGTCTAGCGGCAGACGGCTAAGAAGATTAAAGGAAAGAGAACAAGAACAGAGAATGATTACTGTGGAAATGAAGGAACAATGAAGTCTGAGACGATGGATTTATATTTTGCAAATGAAGTATTAATTGTATGGTTATGAGATATTACTAAGTGATTCGACTGAGGAGTCCCACAATAGGACGAAACGACCGTCCAGTGCTTCCAGGTTTTCCATGGTGGTCTAGCTTCAATAGACTCATGATTCAATGTATTATGTAATCATCAGTGTTATGTAACCTCTAAACGTTTTGATTCTATTTATCATTCAGGAATTTCCTTATGCCAATGATATTTGTTATTTGGCCTATTCCTATCCGTACACCTATACAAATTTAAAATTTGATTTGAATGAATTACTTATTAAATCAAATGAAAATGAAACATTGAATAAAACAGTTAATTGTGAAGTATTATGTCAAACTAGAGCTGGCAACTCATGTTTCCTGGTTACAATTACTGATCAAAGTAAGTTTTTTTCGTAGAATGCCCTGTTGCTCTTATCAATATACGACGCATTGATAATGTCAGTTAGAGAACAGTGAATTATTAATCGGACCAATGATGCATAAAACTCGTACGAGCAATCTAGAGACCTTAGCGATCCTGCTTCCCCGCCTACCCAACCTGTTAAGTCCAGAACACCAGTCCCCGCCTCTACGATGTGAATCATTTATTTCAAATATACTGGGTTTATACATCAGCCAAACAGACCACATCGTACCATAAACTAGGAAACAACATTTGTACAAGATCTAGCCAAAGGTGGCTGTGAGTGTAGGAGACTGTAATGAATAGACTGTGCATAAATCAAGAACGGTAAATCGTATAATAACAGTTTATAGGTCAAAATGAAGCTTATAATAAAAGAAACATGAATATATATAGATAAAATGATTGTTGAAGGTAGTCAACAGGAAACTCTGGACCCGGGTTTCCTGTTGTTTATCTCCAAACACCATCTTATCTCAACATAGTGTACGCAATGTCAACTCACCTAGACTAGTGGCCACATTGCAACTAGGTCGATAGTATTCGATCTGTACTAAGAAGTAACTGACATACATGACATTGACACCACTTAGTGATCAATCAATTATGAATATGCATAGTTTAGCGACGAAACCAATAATCAAACTTTGTCGTTTGCTTCACATGTTGTTTGTGACTAGAAAGCCACTAAAAACCAGAAAGCATTGGTCAGTAGTATCTTCGTAGTATAGAACTCCACAGCCTTATGTATGCACTACTGCTCCATCAACTAGTCACAAAACATTCAGTCATTAGTGTGCGCTCTAAATCTTCAAACCACTGGGTTGAGATCAAACAGAACAGCCATTCATAGATCCCTAGTTTTCAGTGATTATCTAGCTACAGTCAATCGTTGATGTAAATTACGAAATCCCACAGTTTCCAAGATTTCTATATAAATTTTTGATAGATGATACATTATGAGCACAGATAGATGATGACTATCAGTAGAACCCAGGACGGGCGTTTCTTCCTATTTGAGGCTCATCAGCTGGATGTATCTACATCCCAGAGTTGATGTTTACCTCAAGACTCGAAGCCGGTACTGTTCGCTCCAAACTCTTAAATACAAGTACATCCAACCAAAGACGACTTCCAAATAGGGCGAACCGCGTATCTTGGACTCCACTACTCACCACTATTCACCTCTCCTTATAATACTTATGACTTATGGCAATATCGGAGTAATCTGCACAGGATGTACATATTCCAATAACCAATTGATCCATTGTAGTTGTAAACATCAATGAGAATATTCAAACAACCAATACTATTTTAACAATTGAGTTCATGAGTCAATTGAAGCTAGACCACCATGGAAAACCTGGAAGAATTGGACGGCCGTTTCGTCCTATTGTAGGACTCCTCAATAGTGTGCATCCATGACCCCATGATGGTCTAGCTTCAATTGACTTATGATCTTAACTGTTGCAATGACTACAATCTCCACAAAACCCCCTTCTGATACCAAACACTATTTTAGTCAGTAAGCTGTTAAATATAAATGTGCTATAAATATTGTTTAAATAAATAAAAAAATTACAGAAATTTGTTTTCACAGATTGAAATCATGAGTCAGTTGAAGCTAGACCACCATTGAAAACCTGGAAGCACTGGACGGCCGTTTCGTCCTAGTATGGGACTCCTCAGCAGTGCGCATCCACGATCCCGCACCACGCGGGGCCCGAACCCAGGACCTACTGGCTCCGCGCGCGAGCACTTAACCATCAGACCACTGAGCCGGCATCCAACGGTGTTAATGTCTAACTTCAACCAATCCACGAAGTTGCGCCACTATATACCACTGTCTTCAGTGAGCTGATATGGTGGCGCAACTTCGTGGATTGGTTGAAGTTAGACATTAACACCGTTGGATGCCGGCTCAGTGGTCTGATGGTTAGGTGCTCGCGCGCGGAGCCAGTAGGTCCTGGGTTCGGGCCCCGCGTGGTGCAGGATCGTGGATGCGCACTGCTGAGGAGTCCCATACTAGGACGAAACGGCCGTCCAGTGCTTCCAGGTTTTCAATGGTGGTCTAGCTTCAACTGACTCATGATTTCAATCTGTGAAAATTTCTAAAAATCTCCACAAACCCCTTCTGATAAAAATTTGTTTGTTTATTTATTTCGACAAACAAATAAACAGACATACCAAATAAAGATAAATATGCAGTTGTAATCACTGCTCGTGTTCACCCTGGTGAAACCAATTCTAGTTGGATAACTTATGGATTATTGAAATTTTTAACAAGTAATCAATCAATTGTATTAACATTGAAAAAACAATATACTTTCTATATTATACCAATGTTAAATCCTGATGGAGTAATTGTTGGAAACTATAGGTAAGTTATAAGATAGATGAATGTAACGGTGAAATTAGAATTTATGAATGAACCAATCAGAGTGACGATGATTGATTTTGAAATTTAGCGCGAAAATTCGTAAATATTAATCGTCATTCCTCACGATGGTTTATAGCTCACATTTAAGTGTAGTATGTAGTAGATGGACATTCTCAATGTCTCGTTAGCGTCGTTCAATGGTCGTTCATAAATTATAGTCTCATGGATGTAACGATTTTGGTTATGCAATTTATACAATAATTCATATGGACTCTTAGCTTTTTTTCACTGTTACATTGTTGATTGGGGATAAGAGTTAAGAATAGGATAGATTTTGACTGGGTAAAACTCTCAGATTATAAAAGGAGAAGGATTTGAAATTGTAACCTATCGGTTGAAAGTTAATTATTGTTATTAATGAGAAATCACTATACTGAAAGGTGTGTTAGACGAGTTATTTGATGTTGTAATGTTTTGTAAGGATCATGACATAGTGTTAGTTATATCATCAAAGTTATATAATATACCCTTGTGAGCCAGGGTAATTCTATATTGGTTTTTAGGAGAACCAGACACCATCCAGACTTTTACGTGACAACCCAAACAGTACAAGTCAATCCCATATAACAGGACAGCCAGAAACTACCCAGGTTTAAAATTTGTAGCCCAAATAGCAAGGCTTAATCCCGTTTCCACGAGAACCAGGCTTAAACTTCATAACCCGAGCAGTACAGTTCAATCCCGCTTCACAGGAGAACTAGACATCACGTAGACTTTAATGTTACAATCTGAACAGTAAAGCTTAATCCTATGGCGCAACCACACACGTACCAAACACCCTAGTGAACCATTCGCACCATTCATTTACACATTTACGTCACATGTATAGTTATTCCGATCAATGATCGCGTGAATCAATTATGCACAGCAAGAACAGGCCAAAGTTGACCTATTCCGCTTACACGACAGTCAAACTCATTAATGTTAGTAATGGCAACACGCCTTACAATGTCCCAATGGCCCTTGAGAACACTGAAAAGCAACCACCAGTATGAATGAAATCGGTTAACCAACAAACCAATTTTGCGCATGAACAGTCAGCAAAACTTGCCAAAATAATACCGAACCATCCACAATATCAATGGCAGACCTCCAGTCTCATGTGAGACCTTCAGCTCTACATAACCACATAGCTTATACTACATACAGCACTTATGTAGGGTGTGTGTGTGTTTTGCCTGTTACTCCTCGTGAAGGAGCATAGGCCGCTCACCAGCATTCTCCATCCAACCCTGTCCTGGGCAATCCTTTCCAGCTCCTTCCAGTTGTAATTCATCCTTTTCATATCTGCTTCTATTATCCGACGTAATGTGTTCTTTGGCCTTCCTCTTTTCCGCTTCCCTTCAGGATTCCAAGTTAGGGCTTGTCTCGTGATACAGTTTGACGATTTGCGTAATGTATGTCCTATCCATTTCCATCGTCTTCTCCTAATTTCCTCTTCAGCTGGAAGTTGGTTTGTTCTCTCCCACAGAAGGCTATTGCTGATGGTATCTGGCCAATGGATGTTGAGTATCTTGCGTAGACAGCTATTTATAAATACTTGTACTTTCTTGATTGTGGTTGTTGTAGTTCTCCAAGTTTCAGCTCCATACAGTAGAACTGCCTTGACGTTCGTATTGAAGATTCTCACTTTGATATTGGTTGAAAGTTGTTTTGAGTTCCATATGTTCTTCAATTGTAGGAATGCGGCCCTTGCTTTGCCAATCCTCGCCTTTACGTCTGCATCTGAACCTCCTTGTCCATCGACGATGCTTCCCAGGTATGTGAAGGATTCTACATCTTCCAGAGTTTCGCCATCAAGAGTGATTGGATTGCTGTTTTCCGCTTTGAATTTGAGGACCTTCGTTTTCCCTTTGTGTATACTGAGGCCTACTGATGCAGAGACTCCTGCTACACTGGCTGTCTTCATCTGCATCTGTTCGTGTGTACGTGATATAAGAGCTAGGTCATCTGCGAAGTCCAGATCGTCTAATTGGTTCTGAGCTGTCCATTGTATTCCGTGTTTTCCTTCAGATGTCGAGGTCTTCATAATCCAGTCGACCACCAGAAGAAAGAGAAAGGGAGAGAGTAAACAGCCTTGTCTGACCCCGGTCCTTACTTGGAATGCATCTGTCAGCTGTCCTCCATGCACGACCTTGCACTGTAGTCCGTCGTATGAGTTCCGGATAATATTGACAATCTTCTCAGGAATTCCGTAGTGTCGGAGAAGTTTCCATAATGTCCTCCTATCTACACTGTCAAATGCCTTTTCATAATCAATGAAGTTGATGTATAGTGACGAGTTCCACTCAACTGATTGTTCGACGATGATCCGTAGTGTTGCAATTTGGTCTGTGCACGACCGATCCTTACGGAATCCAGCTTGTTGATCTCGAAGTTGAGCGTCTACTGCATCCTTCATCCGGTTCAGCAAAACTCTGTTGAAGACTTTCCCTGGTATTGACAGTAGTGTTATGCCTCTGTAGTTTTCACATTTGCTCAGATCTCCTTTCTTTGGAATCTTGACGAGGTGCCCTTCTTTCCAGTCCATTGGCACTTGTTCCTCCTCCCAAATCTCTTTGAATAGAGGGTAAAGCATGCTTGTGGTTACTTCGACGTCTGATTTCAGTGCTTCAGCTGGTATGTTGTCGGGTCCTGCTGCTTTCCCGTTCTTGATTTGTCTGACGGCCGCTCTAATTTCTTCCGTCGTTGGTGGGTTGACATCTATAGGAAGATCTGTGTGTGCTGCTTCGACGTTCGGTGGATTCATAGGAGCCGGCCTATTCAGGAGTTCCTCAAAGTATTCTACCCATCTGTTACGCTGTTGTTGAATTTCAGTGATTGGCTTGCCTTCCTTGTCTTTGACCGGCCTCTCTGGTTTATTGTATTTCCCTGCTAGTTTCTTCGTTGTATCGTAAAGTTGTCTCATATTTCCTTCTCTAGCAGCTTTTTCTGCCGTCGTTGCTAATTCTTCCACGTATTTCTTCTTGTCAGCTCTAATGCTCCTCTTCACTTGCTTGTTTGCTTCTATGTATTCAGCTTGTGCTTGGACTTTCTCTGCTCGTGTTCGGCTGTTGTTTATTGCTGCCTTCTTGTTCTTCCTTTCTTTGATCTTGTCCAGTGTTTCTGTAGAGATCCATTCCTTATGATGGTATTTCTTTAGACCGAGAACCTCTTGACACGTTGAAGTTAATGCTTCCTTGATGCTTTTCCAGTTGTCCTCCATAATAGTTTCTTCTTCTTTCAGTAGATCTTGTAAGGCTTGGAACCTGTTGTTGAGAGCTATCTTGAATTCATTGAGTTTGACAGTATCTCGAAGGAAGGCTGTATTGAACCTTTGTATTGCTGTTTGTCCACTTGTCCAGTTCTTTTTTAGCTTCAGTTTCAAATTGGCTACAACTAGGTGGTGATCTGAAGCTACGTCAGCTCCTCTCCTGGTTCTCACATCTTCCATTGTCCTTCGGAATTTTTTGTTGATGCAAATATGGTCTATCTGGTTCTCTGTAGTGTGGTCCGGTGAGATCCATGTAGCCTTGTGTATACGCTTGTGTGGAAATATTGTGCCTCCTATGACTAATTTGTTGAATGCACACAAATTTGCAAATCTTTCTCCATTTTCGTTCCTCTCTCCCAGTCCATGTTGCCCCATAATATCTTCATATCCGATGTTGTCTATTCCGACTTTGGCATTTAGATCTCCCATTAGAATGGTGAGGTCCTTTCTTGGGCATTTCTCAATGACTGACTGCAGCCGCTCGTAGAACTGATCTTTAATGTCGTCGTTGCTATCATTGGTGGGTGCATAACATTGGATAATATTCATTAAGATCCCCTCCTTCTTTGTTTTGAATGATGCTTTGATGATTCTGGATCCGTGGGATTCCCATCCTACAAGTGCATTTCGTGCTACTTTGGACAGCATTAGAGCAACTCCCTGAGTGTGTGGAGCATTTTCCTCTTCGTGACCGGAGTATAGCAGCATCTCTCCCGTAGCTAGTCTTTTCTGTCCAGCTTGGGTCCAGTGAGTTTCGCTGATCCCCAGTACTGCTAAGTTGTATCTCCTCATTTCCATTGCTATTTGACTGGTCTTCCCGGTTTCCCACATTGTCCGGACGTTCCATGTACCTATAAAAATTTTTGCTCTGGTTGTTAGAAGGGGCATCGGCCTCGTGGCTTCCGAAGGAACTCGGCTTTCACCATGAAGCGTCATAATTCTTCTAAATGAAGACCTTCTAACTCTCAGGGCAGAGTTAAAATGGTTTGAATTATTTTTTCTGGTAAGCGTTTTTTTAGCGAGTTAGTTTTCTACGGGATGGGGACGCTAACCCCATGCCCAACCCTCCTCCTTTACCCGGGCTTGGGACCGGCAGTAACTCTAGAAGAGCTACAGGCGGAGTTACTTATGTAGGGTAGTAAACGAAAATGTAAACATTTTCTGACACACATAAAAATATTTGTTTCCGCAAATGTGAATTATAAACTAGTTCAGTTATCTTTTCTCCATATGTTATTGCAGTGACTTGAAATAAGACTGGTCTATCAGTGTAGTAGTTTGAACTAAATGCTGATTACCCAGTCAATCAGTTGCAATGTAGAACCTGATAAGTATGTACAGTTTATGTTGTTTTTCCAAGAGACATACCTTAGTGCTGTTATATCTTAAGTTACTGCCTTTAGTCATATCATTCTTCGACCGAATTAGCTGACCTAAAGGAACATGTGTTCCAGCTAATACTAGCTTGGTTGAATCATTACAATAACCAACCCGACCACCACGCCAAGGTAGCAAATAACACCAGAGAATTTTTGGAAGCTTGTCACTAGGGTTAATCTGCAATCGACAAACATTGAAACCGACCAAATTTATCAGCCAATCAGAAAAATTATGGACAAACATATGACCAAAAATCAAATCAACAGAATATAAAACCAAAATAAAGAAGTAAACAACGATAAGTTAAAGGTCAACAATAAAGAATCAACGTCAAGGTCTACAGGACAAGCTATGAGACATATGTGGAGAAATTCGAACACTCCACTTCTACTTGAAGTTTGCGTTGATGATGTCGTCCAGAAGAACAACGAAAGCTCCACGACAAAACCATCTAGCTCGGAGAACAAAACTCCACCTAAACTAAACCAACATTGTTGAAACCCCCGCCTTCTCGCAGCAGGGATGTTGTTTACGAATTTGAGAGGAGTAAAATCGAATATCCGATGCTTTAACCGGGTTAGTGGATATGGAGGATCAACCTAGGGCAGTTGGAAAACCCTCATTCCAACCCAATGGTACACGTGGGTTCCAGGATCCTCAGGGAAAAAATGGTGTACGAACCATTTATTGGTCACTGACTACCATATGATTGCGTCTCCTGACGTGGATCAACTGCCTTGTGGATCAAACCTTTAGGTCGAAGGCTTCGGGCATGGTTCCTTAAGAAAACCACCTGCTTCGGTTTGATCTGGGTGGCGCATATTTATTCAGTGCATCTTTGTACCAATATTTATGTGTTCAAATAAACAAATAAAGCCAAATACAGATTGATTGGGATGAATTTATTTCAGGAGAAGGCAAACGCGTCATCTCATTTTGTTATTAGCTTGACTTACTATTTGTAGCCAAACAAAAACAAACTAATGACATGTGCAAAATAAAAGAAGCGATAAACTCGCATACTCAAATGAAAACAGTCAATATTATAAGCGGATAATTGATATGGTCAAAACATATATGGATGATGATGCCAGAAGAATAAAGTAACTGGTCTGTTCAAAAACTAGACTCATGAACATAGGCGTGATACGGTACTAGATGTTATCTATCTTTGCTTATAAAGCTTGTGACTTTAGGTAATACCAAGGCAATACGTACAGAATGCACATATGCCAACAAGTGACCGATCAATCGCAGACCTAAATAACAATGGGAATGTACAAGTCAACAACATCAAGTGAACATATGTTTAAGTTTTATAATCATTTTAGAGATAACTTCTCTTGATTTAAGCGATCTACACACCAACTAGCTAGTAAACAACATAAAGGTTTCATGGTTATCTATATTGTGGCTTAAAAGGCTTGAGTATTTTTTTCTGGCCAGCGTTTTTTTAGCGAGTTAGTTTTCTACGAGATAGGGTCGCTAACCCCATGCCCAACCCTCATCCCTTGTCCGGGCTTGGGACTAGTAGTAGCCCCCGGAGGGACTACAGGCGGAGCAGTATATTTACAACTGAAGAACATCTGGAACTCAAAACAATTGTCTCTCAAGCAACACCAAAGTCACAATTTTCAACACAAATGTCAAAACAGTTCTACTGTCTGGAGCGGAAACCTGGAGAACTACGAAAGTCATCATCCAGAAGATACAAGTGTTTATTAACAGTTGTCTATGCAAAATACTTCGGATCCGTTGGCCGGACACTATTAGCAACAACCTACTGTGGAAGAGAACAAACCAGATCCCGGCGGAGGAAGAAATTAGGAAGAAGCGCTGGAAGTGGATAGGACACACATTGAGGAAATCACCCAAATGCGTCACAAGACAAGCCCTCACATGGAACTCTCAAGGCCGAAGGAGGAGAGGAAGACCAAGAAACACATTACACCGGAAAATGGAGACAGACATGAGAAAAATGAACAAAAAGTGGATGAAACTAGAAAAGAAGGCTCAGGACAGAGTGGGTTGGAGAATGCTGGTCGTCGGCCTATTCTCCATTAGGAGTAACAGGCGTAAGTAAGTAAGTATATTGTGGCTTAAGGTCAGGATAGTAGAATAATTCTCTCATTATCTAATATTTTGAATAAATCAACAAGAGTTTCAATTAATGTTATTGACTAATAGATGCGTTTATGAAGATATAAGCTATTGAATTGAATTGGATGTTAGTTGGAATGGTTCAAATCATTGTAGAAACTTTATTTAAAATCCTCATATAATCATTTGACAGCATTTATTTACACTGTATCTTTCTCGAATTGACTCCCCCTTCTTCTATTTTTTCAAAGATGTTCACTAACAGGAAGAGACTTAAATCGTAATTATCGTCAACCAAAAAAAGATGTATTTCCAACTGTATGGACAGTGAAACAACTTGTGAAATGGTGTAAAAAAACATATAAAGTAAGTAATAAGAAAAAAATCACTAAGGAGGTGTGTGAAAGTCATTTACTCGGTGGTTTAACAGAGAAATTATTGAAGAACTTCATCAGTCGAGATGGCTGGGACACGTGTTACGTATGTCCAACCACCGACCGCCTCGACGTGCGATGTTTAATGGTATAAGAGTAGATTGGAAGAAAGCTAGGGGCGGCCAGATCAAAACATGGCACAAATCCATGAAGTCACTGACAAGTGGACTGAACCATGTTGATAGGTGTAGACTACTTGGTTGAGATCCGCGAGACGATAGCAACCGATGGTTAGAGACCTTGAATGACATGGCTCAAAATCGTTTGCAATGGCGCAGGTGCATCCACTCTTTGTGTTCTACCAAATTCTAATCTTCTGAATTCTTTATGTCCCTTGTTTTTTCTCTTTACAAATTTATTTCACTGGATTATACTCCTTGAATAACATTTTCAAACCCTAATGTTTCCGACTACTGCTTATACTCTTGCTACCTCTACCACTATGGGATTTGAATCGACAACTGTATCTCTGTGCTAATGTGATATGACAACTTGAACTGATATACGTACGTACGAAGTTCTATGCTGTTGATGACTGACTGAATTATTGAAAAATTGATATTCTGAGAACTATTTTACAGATTATGATTGATTATATTTTTATATTATGACTATTAGACAATTGGATTATTAAGCTTCGATATTCCCTGAGATATACGTTTTATCATTCCTTAGTAATTGTTACTGTATTATAAACCATTTGTTTCATTCTCTTTCATATATGGCTTCATTGTGTGCTAAGTATGACTTATAATTTAGGGAACAATGTAGTCTGATATGCCATGCATATAAACTAATGGACATTTCAGTTATAATAATTAAGTGCATGAAATGTAATAACCTAAAAGCTTGCCTGGTGTGTTCGGATTACAAATGAGGATAAAAACACGTACTTTCTCGATAGATAATTGTGACAAATTAGACCCTTTTTTGATGGAGTTTTGTTCTCTGAGCTGGATGATTTGTTTATGGAGCTTTCATTGTTCTTCTGAACAACATCATCAACACAAACTTTAGACCTTAACTCAAAGATTATTTGTACAAGTTGAAGCGCATATTTTAGTCACCTGTAACAAGTTCCATCAATGATCATTTCCATTCCACATGATAACGTTTATAGCCAAGCTTCCTAGATTTGAACAATTATACAACTAATCTGCACAATTAACTTTAAGGCAACACAACTCTATTCATCTATCTTGAATTATACAAGCATACTGAACCACATCAAACCATACAATGAAAAGTCACAATTATACATAAATAAGCCAAAAGTGTCTATGAATACGGCAAGCTATAAGTAAGAGACTGGCAACAAGTTAGAAATATTAAGTTGTATAACAGTAGTTAATACGCTAAATCAGATTATGATAAATGGAATAGATATAGATATAGTAGTCCAGATACTAAGCAATCATAAGTGGAACTATAATATAAGGATGAACCAATCAGGTATAAGATAAAAGGTCTTGGATTTTCGCGCGAAATTCATTCATCCAATTGGCTAAATAGTGTTTTGGCATTTTAGCTGATATCAGTTCACGATAAAAACCTTAAATCAAATTCCTAACGTTAATCATCAACTGTAAATCATAATTTGAATTCCTCATACACTGGTTGATAACCCTCATTAGGTAGAATTTCTTAAGGTCACTTTAGCGTCGTTCAAAGGTCGTCCATAAATTGTAGTCTCTCCTATTTAGCTAATTAAACGGAGAGCATTTATGAGTAACAAATACATTCACTGTTAGAGATCACAATGGTATTAATGTTTAATGACAAACTCATCAATTAATGTAATCCATTAAAACTAGTTACAGTATTACCAAATATCATCACTTCTATAATTATTCGTATGGAGATATGTGAATTTTGTGGTACTTTTTACAGTTGAAATCATTAATCGATCTAATCTAGACCAGAATTAAAAACCTGGAAGCACTGGACGGTCTAGCCTCGATTAACTCATGATTTGAACTATGAACTTACTACAATCTTCTCAAATCCCCATAGTGATAACAATCATCTTCTCAGTAAGGATTAGCTTCAACATGTAACTTTTAAGATTATAAAATGACCCACTTTTCTAAAAATTCATAATACTTCTCATATAAAGTTTAATAGTTTAATTCATGAGTCAATCATGGAAAACCTGGAAGTATAGAACACCTCAACAGTGCTCGTCCACGATTCTGCGACTCAGGATTCGAACCTCAGTCTTATACTAGAACGCTTAACCTTTAGACCGCTGATTTGTCATCCAGTGGTGTTATTGTCTAACTTCAACTAATCCACGAAATTGCTCCTTCGTCTACCATTGTCTTCAGTAAGTTACTATTTCACAACAGACCTGGTTGAACTCCATTGGTCACGGTTCATGAATTCTGAAATTTCCACAAACCCTCCCCCATTCTGATAATAATCAAATAAAGTTATATTTTTCTTTCTATTTAAAACTAGGATGTTATTTATTGTGATATGCATGGACATAGTCGACGGAATAATATATTCATGTATGGTTGTGATCCATTATATAGACATTCTAAAATATTTAATAATACTAAGAAATCTTTACATGAAAGAATACTCCCATATATCATATCTCAACAGGTTAGTCTAATTCATGTATACATAGATGTATCATCTTTATTTATTTATTTAAACACATAAATATTGGTACGAAGGGGGCACCGAATACATATGCGCCACATAAATCATTCGTTTTGTATGAGGGCTGGGACAATGTCCGGATGCCAAAATCAAAGCAAGAGGTTTTCTTAGAGGATCATAACCCGGAGCCTTTGACCTAAAGGTCTGATTCACATGGCTGTGGAGCAACGTCAGGAGATGCAATCACATCGTAGCTGGTGACTAACAATAAGTTCATACCCCATTTGGTTCATATCCCATTTGCTCCCTCAGGGTACTGGAGGCAGCCCATGTACACCATTGATTTAGAATCAGGGTTTTCCAACTCCACTAGGTGGATCCTCCGTACCCACCAACCCGGTTTAGACGCCGGACATTCGCTTTTTATCCTCTCAATTTCGTAAACAACAATAACGCTGCGAGGAGTCAGTAAGTATGACTTCCCTGTCAGTGCTTGCATACGCGTGGCCATAAGAGCATTTGGAGATGGAGAGCCGACTCTTCTCACCCTTGGCCGTACCAGAGCATTTGAGGGCAACAATATTCACCGGACCAAAAAATAACGCAATGAAGTATGCATACGCTGACAGATCATTGAGTAGTGTAATTTTTGATGCTGTGGATTGAATTCTGTCGATCCAATTACAATGTGATTAAAAATTCATGCAATTTAATATCCATTGTATTCGGTTGTTAAGTAGTTGGAGACTATTGATAGGAAGCTCGTGACTTAGGTTTCATGTTTGTTAGGATTCATTAGTAAAGCGTACCTAAAATTTTGAGGTAAATGTTACTCCCTATGGGATTAAGTCTAGGGTGACCTATTGTCATATTAAGAGATACTACCACCGAACTAGCTGAGACAAAACCTTCTATGGGATTAAATTATTTTAATAGACTGGTCATTAGATAGTAAATAATATCATGTTTTCTGAGTGCTTGAATTTGCAGATAATCTAACACTGGGAGCTGATCTACAGAATCTGATCATCACTATGGATTAGATCAGCATGATATATTTTTACTACTCGGTGATCACTCAGTAAACTTTCCAGTCATCTTTCTAAACAAAATAATCAGGTTTGAAGTATAAATAATGGATTCTTGTGAATGATTAAAACTTAAATCTCTACAATCATAACTCTGGTTGAAATTGTGGACGATAGAACATCTATATCTTTCATTTCGTCCATTGATGAATAGCTTAATTATCACTATGGGGGTTGTGAAGATTTAAATATTTTCAAAGTTGAATTCACGAGTCAATCTAAGTTAGGTCACCATCAAAAACTTAAATGTACCGGACGGCCGTTTCTTCCTAGTATAGGACTCTTTAGAAGTGCGCATCCACGATCCCACACATGGAACTCAAACCCAAGACCTTCAGTATCGCACGCGAATGTTTAACCTCTAAATCATTGAACCGGCACCCAACGGTGTTAATGTCCAGCTTCAATCAGTCCATGATCCTGCTCAAACCTTCATCCATCCCCTGAGGTGTATAACTGTCTCACACTCGACACCGAATAAACTCTATCCGTCACAGCTTCTCATTAGAACTCCAAGAAATCCATCTTGAAGTTAATCACTAGTGAGCCTATGATTATTATTGTTCCTTTGTTTCCACACCAATCATTCACTATTTTCGTTCACTTTTTCTTCGATCTTCTTAACCTTCTATCGCTAGACATTTCACTTTCGATTGACGGGTAATACATACTATTTATATCTGTCGAAATCAGTAGTACATCCCACATTATACATTTAACATTCTTTTTTTCAGGCGACTTCTTATTTTTCATTTCCAAATTGTCGATTCACTGTTCATCCAAGTAAAGAATCTACAAGTCGAGTGGTATTTTGGAGAGAATTTGAAGTGATCAATAGTTTCACATTAGAAGCAACATTTAATGGTTCAACTTTACAAAAGTTAGTTTTTGGAAGAAAAAACCAATACTTTTTCACTATTTTTCTGGTTTTGTTATTGCCTTCCATGACATAGTTTCGAAAGAAGTGCCTAATATGATTGAAGGTTAGTATAAGGTTATCAGTTCTATAGAGATTCATATCATTTGTAGGTAGATAGTGACTTACTTCAGGTTGTTTCTATAGTTCTCATGAGAATTCATAACTTGTAATATTCAGATATGTTAATAATGAAACACTAACACCATTGGTTGCCAGCTCAGTGCTCCAGTAGGTTAAGTGTTCGCGCGTGGGACTGAAAACCCTGGGTTTGAATCCCACGAATGGGATCGTAGATGCGCACTGCTGAGGAGTCCCTCAATAGGACGAACCGGCAGTCCAGTGCTTTCAGGTTACCAACGGTGGTCTAACATCGATCGACTCATGATCTCCATAAGAAAATAATGAAACAGTTGTCACCAGTAAAATTGAATGATCATCGAACTATATCATAAATTCATAGAAGTTGGGATTGTAATATGGTAAGCATCTCTCAAGTGATCTGATGGTTCTGAGTTTGATTCCTATTAAGTTCATGATTACCCATTTTTCTAAGGAGTTCCAAAAACAGGACAAAACAACTGTCTAGTACTTTATGGTTCTCAATGGTACAATGAATGAAATCACTCTGTGACTTACTGTCTCTTAGTTACAATCATATTAAGGGATATATAATTTTCTATCATATTCCTGAAGATAATCATAAGTGATAATGATAGAATATGTCTATCTATTAAACACTATCCTGGTTTATTGCCCCCAAATGCCCTGATATGGCCGAGAGTGGGGTGAGCCTGCCCTCCCACTCGAAATGCTCTCACACGGCCACGCGTATACAGCCTCTGCCAGGGAAGTCCTACTCACTGCTTCCTCGTGGCCGGGGTGTGGTTTACGAAAATGAGATGACGAAGAGCGAATGTCTGGCGCTTTAATCGGATTCCAAACCAATGGTGCACATGAGCTCCAGTATCCTAAGGAAACGAATAGCGTATGAACCAATCGTTGGTCACCGGCTACCATGGGAATGCATCTCCTCACGATGCTCCACTGCCTCGCGGATCAGACCTTTAGGTCAAAGGCTCGGGGAGTGGCCCCCAAAGGAAACTACCTGCTTCGGTCTGGGCACCCGGGCAGTATCACAGCCTACACACACACAAATATGGTGTGGCACATATATATTTGGTGTCCACTTGTACCAATATTTATGTATTCAAATAAATAATAAATAAATTCTGGTTTATTACATCTAAACTAATATTTTCAATAATTGATTTACAATTATTGATTAGTGTTATTATTATCGATTCACTGATTGTTCATGTTATGTAATAGTTCTCTCACTTTCTTTACTGTTACCAAATATTGTAATAAGGATCAGTATCCACACATACATACACACACACACACACACAAATACACACACATATACATACCTATGCCAAGTACAATATTGGTTATGATTAACTGCCAAATTTCTTTCTTTTCAGTAATAGTTTAATGAAATTTGAAGTGGACGATTTTATAAAAATGGGTGAACTATTAGGATATTCATTATATAAATTTTATGAAGTATTATGTAATCCATTGTAAGTAAATATTGATTTTGTATCAACTATTTATTGATCGGTTCAATGAATACATTGGATTAGGTACTTTCATTGTAGTGAGTAAATGTCACATTACTAAAGTGTACTTTTCATTGAATAGTTTAGTTCGTGTTTTGGAACTTATCTACAACTATCTTACATTCTTAACTGATTTACATCTGTTACTTCCAATGGAGCATAAGCCGCCGACCAGAAATCTCCGAACCACTCTGTCCTGGGTCTTCCTTTCTAGCTCTATCCAAATTTTGTTCATTTTTCTCATATCTGTCTCCATTTCTCGGTGTAATGTGTTCTTTGGTCTTCCTCTTCTCCGTTGGCCTTAAGGGTTCCAAGTGATGAGAGCTTACCTTGTGACGCTTCTTCCTGATTTCTTCCTCCGCCAGAATCTGGTTTGTTCTCTCCCATAGTAATTTGTTGTTGATAGTGTCTGACTAACAGATCTGAAGTATTTTGCATAGACAACTGTTAATAAACACTTGTATCTTCTGGATGATGACTTTCGTAGTTCTCCAAGTTTCCACTCTATACAGTAGAACTGTTTTGACATTTGTGTTGAAAATTGTGACTTTGGTGTTGCTTAAGAGACAACTATTTTGAGTTCCAGATGTTCTTCAATTATAAATATCCTATCCGCGCCTTCACATCTGCATCAGATCCATCGTGTTCATCAATGATACTACCCAGATATGTGAAGGTTTTTACATCCTCCAAAGCTTCTCCATCACGTGCGATTTGATTAGTGCATATCTACTCCTCCTGGAGCCTCCCTGTGGCTACTGCTAGTCCCAAGCGCGGATGAAGGAGGAGGGTTGGGCATGGGGTTAGAACACTAACTCGCTAAAATATGCTCACCAGAAAAAATAATTCAAATCATCTACAACTGTCTAGTATGCATATATTTAGTGTAGCGTGAATAAACACATTAAATTAAAAGAAAACAGACATATAAGACATTAAATGAAATCTCGAATGGAAATTACATTCTAATGTACAATGATTACTTGTTAAAGGAATACAAAGCAAACCCGAATTGCTGTATATGATATTCGTAGCTAAAACGGAACCATTGCAGTTGATCTTTACTGTATTAACGATCTATTTTAATTAAACGGATCACTATTTACAACTGATTGATCACTGGGTGGTGATCAATGTCATGTATGTTAGGTCCTTCTTATTGTAGATTGAATCCTATCGACCAAGTTGTGATATGGTCACTAGTCTAGATGACTTGATATAGTGCATGCAATGTCAATAAATCAAATACTACGTTATTCGATCAATATTAATTTTAAATTATTTAAATCCATTGAAGCAGAATTACTGCTGTTATCCTTCGTAGAGCATAAGCTGCTAACCAATAATCTTTAACCTATTTTGTCCTAAACTGTGCTTCCAAGTTATTCTCGAGTGCTATTCATACTTTTAATGTCTGCTTTCTATTCGCACTGCAATATATGTAATTTGTACTTTTGTCTTGAAGATTCTAAATTACGGTTTACTTTATGATACAGTTTAATAATTTCCGCAGTGTGTGCCCTATTCATCTCAAGAGTCTTCTCCTAATTACTTCTTCTTCTTCTTCTTCTTCTGAAAGCTGGTTTGTTCTTCGCCAAAGCAGGTTATTACTGATAGTGTTTGACCAATGGATCTGTAGTATTGAATAATTATTTTTTCTGGTTAGCGCTTTGTTAGCGAGTTAGTTTTCTACGGGATGTGGTCGCTAACCCTATATCCAACCCTCCTCCTTTATCCGGGCTCAGGACCGGCAGTAACCCTAGAGTGGCTCCAGGCGGAGACATGACTATTAAAATAAATGGCAGAATTCTGTTGATTTTATTTCATGAATATTGAGTGATAAACATCATGAACTCTGGTTATGTCTATCACATAATATATTTATACATTTATTTTCAATGTATTAGAAAACTTAAAGAAACTCTAAAGAACTTAGCACAGCAAACGCTTACCAATTTATGGATGACAAAAATTCCATTGACACCTGAAAATACAATAGCTGAAGAACATAAAGGTAACATTTTGTGTAATCTATAAATTATATTCATGATTAAAGTATTGGGCCCCCAAGCGCTCTGGTACGGCCAAGTGTGGGAAGAGTTAGCTCTCCCTCTCCAAATGCTCTCATATGGCCACGCGTATACAACCACTGACAGGGGAGTCCTACTCACTGCCTTCTCGTGATATTATTGTTGCTTACAAAATTTGGGGGATGGAAAGAGAATGTCCAACGCTTTAACTGCGTTCGTGGATATGGAGGATCTACTTTCAATTTTCCCATTGATGTTTTGGACTACAATTGATCAGTCTCTTATTGGCATATGTTCATCCTGTACGTATTGACTCGATCTTGCTTTAATTCACAAGCATTATAAGCAGAGATGGATAGGGGCTAGTAGTGGAATCCAGAATGCGCGTTTCATCATATTTGGGACTTTTCAGCTGGATTTACCTGCATCTCAGAGTTGATGTTCACTCTGGGACTCGAACCCATAACCGTTCGCTCCACTGCTACCCACAATCCATCTTTGTTTATTATGCTCGTGAATTAAGGCTATATCGAGGCAATACGTACAGGATGAACATATGCCAATAACAGACTGATCAGTTGCAGTCCTAAACGTCAATGGGTAGATTCAAGTAAATAATAGCAAGTGAATTCAAACTTCACCCTATTGCACAAACCAGTGACTATCAGGACTCAGTAGCTAAGTAAATAGTCCGATGGCATTTCAAGTGAACGGTGCTAGGTTCGAGTCCCAGAGTGAACATCAACTCTGATATGCAGGTACATCCAGGTAATGAGTCCCAAATAGTACGAAACGCACATCATGGATTCCACTTCTAGCCACTATCCATCTTTGCTTACAATGATCTGAAGGATCTCTAAATATTTTATTAATTATCACGTTTACTACTAATAAGTAGTATAATCCATCTAGTAACTATCTTTTCAAGCCATAAAACAATTACAGTTTTGAAATGAAAATTGGACAAGGATAACCAAAATAAAACGCAGTGATTTGAGTGAAATTGACATTCGATCGTGTATTTTAATGGATTAATTGATAATCGAAAGATAACTGCTTCAAACTCAATTTAGCCAACAGTATTTTATTTATTTATTTGAACATATAAATATTGGTACAAAGGGACACCAAATAAATATGCACCACAGAAATCATTCGATTTGTGTGAGCTGGGATACTGCCCGGGTGCCCAAATCGAAGCAAGTGGTTTTCTTAGGGGGCCATAACTTGGAGTCTCCGACCTAAAGGTCTGATCCACAAGACAGTGGAACGTGATGAGATGTAGCCACATGGTAGTCAGTGACCAACGATTGGTTCATACGCCATTTGTTCACTCAGGATTCTGGATCCCATGTGTACCATTGATTTGGAATGAGGATTCTCCAACTCCCTTAGATGGATCCTCCGTTCCGGCCAACCCATTAGAGCACCGGAGATTCTCTCTTCATCCTCTTTATTTCGTAAACAACAATAATACCACGAGATGGCATTGAGTAGGATTTCTCAGTCAGTGGTTGTATACGCGTGGCCATGTGAAAGCATTTGGATAGGGAGAGTTGACTTTCCCTACTCTCGGCCGTCTTAGGGCATTTGGTGTGATATAGATACTTAATTTGAAAAATTAAGTACACCGATGACTTAGTTTGGTGGATCAGTAGCGGAATACTTAAAGGATTCGATTTTCGACAGTTTTGTTAAAGATTTGAATTTCACTTTTACTACTTTAGTTCTAAGAATTTGTTGAGTATCATCAGTACATAAACGAAAAGCTGGACAACTGAAAGTGGAACACGCATTGTCTGTTGTTATTCATCGACGTAATTAAGACAAAGAATTATCCTGAAGCATAGAAAATATCAGAAGGGGTTTTTGTGGAGATTATAGTAATTTTAATAACTAAGATTATACGTCAATTGAAGCTAGATCACCATGGACCACCAATCTCGCGAGGCGGGATCGTGGATGCGCAATGTTGAGCAGTCCCATAACAATAAAGAAAATAGTTTAGAAACTCATATAATTCAATATTATTCCTAGATAAAATCAATATGCTATCCACAGAAGTAATTAATACGACGTTAGTATTCTTAAGAATTTATACTCATGTTTCATATTACTAATAAACTACTATAAAATGTACATTACCACTGAATCATGGAAGTTGTTGTATCTTGTGATCGTCGATTAGAGGTCAGTGAATTATCGATCGGACCAAGGATGCGTAAATCACGAGCGAGCAGCCTAGAATCCTGAATGGTTCTACTTTCCGCCTAGCCCAGCCAATTAAGTCCAGAACACCAGTCTCAGCCTCTGTAATATGAATCCTTATATTTCAAACATACTGAGTTTATATACCAATCAAACATGCCACAACGTACCAATAGAATATGAAACAACACTTGTACTGTGAATGTGGGAGGCAGTGACTGATAGACAGGGCATAATTCAAGAATGGTAGAACGCATAATAATGGTTCATAGGTCAAAATAAAGTTCATAATAAGAGGAACATGAATATGAATAGTTTAGTTATTTAACAATTATACGATAAAAATCTACGTATAGTACTGGTCAATGAAAGGATCCCAAAGTTACCATTCATTATGTTTATCGGGACCTAACAGAAGTCAAATTGTCTTAATATTTCACTCAGTCTTTGTTAGAGAATAATCATTGAATGAGCGAGTCTTGAATTGTTACAGGACTGTGTTCACTTAAGAACTGTGGATCAAAAAAGTAGTTAAGAAATTATAATTGAGAAACATTACTGGTGAAATGTAATTATTTTCTTGATCAGAGTCTCATTTTTCATGTCTGCGTCTAGAGAAGATAACTAATTTAATTACTTACACCTGTTACCCCTCATGGTGAAGTATAGGCCACCCACCAGCACTCATCATCCAACTCTATCCTGACAAATACTATCCATTTCTTTCCAGACACTATTCATCATTTTGATATCTACTTCCAATTATCGATACAGTGTGTTTTTTGACCTTCCTCTTTCCCGTTTCCCTTCACGATTTCAAGATACAGCTTTCCTCGTGATGCAGTTCGATAATTTCCTTAATTTATGTCCTATCCACTTACAACGTCTTTTCATAACCTCCTCTTCAAATGGAAACTGGTTTAACCTCTTCCACAGTAGACTGTTGTTGATGGTATCCGGCAAATGGATGTTGAGTATGTTGCGTAGACAATTGTCTACAAATACTTGTACCTTCTTGATGATGGTTGTAGTAGTTCTGGAAGTTTCAACTCCGTACAGTGTAACTAGTTGTCTTGACGTTCGTGTTGAAGATTGTTACTTTGATATTGATTGACAGACAGTTGTTTTGACTTCCATTTGTTCTTCAACTGAAGGAATGATGTCCTTAGTTTTCCAATCTTTGGCTGTACTTCAGCATCGGATCCTCCTTACTCATCAATGATAGTTCCCAGATACGTGAGAGATTCTACATCTTCCAGTTTCTCCATCAAGTGTGAGTATGTTGGTGTTCTCCATGTTAAATTTGGAAGTGTTGCTTTTTTCTTTGTATCATGTCTTAACTGGATCTTCTCTCCGTCTAAACATCGAAAACTCCATGAACCACAGTTTTTGATTAAAAATCAAATCATATTCATCTTCAGTATAGGTTTGTAGAGACTTCTGAGTTTTGATTGAGATCATGAAGCGTTCAATATTAAACGATCACTAAAAATTTGGAACCACTGGAGGTTAAGCGTTCGCACGCGAGACTGAAATTCCCTGGTTCGAATCTCGCGTGCGAGTTGCGCATTGCTGAGGAATTCCACACTAGGACGAAACGGTAGTCTAATGCTTCCAGGTTTTCAATGGTGCTCTAACACTGATCGATTCATAATTTCAATCAGAATTCATCCTCTTATATTTTATGTGAATGGTTTCTTGAAGAGTATTTCATAAAGAATCTATCCTTTATAATTCAATGGTCTAGTGAGAGTACTATCGTATAACATTGCAATAGTCTGGAAGAGTCTGTTATTTTGTGAGAAGTTCCAAATTACTAATATACTAAAATATATATAGCTTTCAATCTTCCACTTACATCTTCCGGTATGTTCTACTATCTAAAATATCTTCTCATCTGATCTCCAAAGGTGTTTTGCCAATGAAATACTTTCAATGCACTGAAAACCTTTACAATAATTGCAACTTCAACGCGACGTTAATATACACATCACTTACAAACATTCTTGTGATTAGCGTCCACTACACCATTTGATCATTTGAAGTGAATAGATTACAGTTCGAATCTTAATGTGATCACTGGCGAATGAACTCAGATAAATTCAAATGACGAATATTTACTTACTTACTTGTGAATCATCATCGATGAACAAGCAGGATTCGATGCAGACCTAAAAGTCACGATTGGCAAATCAATGGTGGCATTCCTACGGAGTTGAAGCTTACAGAATTACTACAACCATCATCAAGAAGGTACAAGTATTTATACACAGTTGTTTACGTAAGATACTGAATGTCCGTTGACTTGATACCATCAACAACAGTCTACTGTGGGAGAGGGAAAGCCAGTTTCCATTTGAAGAGGAAATTATGAAAAGACTTTGTAAGTGGACAGGACAAACATTGAGGAAATCATTGAACGGAATCATGAGAAAAGTGTCGATTTGGAATCGTGAAGGGAAGCGGCAAAGAGGAGGATCGACGGACACAATACGTCGAGTAGTGTAGTAAACATCAAAATGATGAATAGCGACTGGAAAGAACTGGATAGTATTTGTCAGGATAGAGTTGGATGATGAGTGCTGGTGGATGGCCTAGACTCCCCCACGAGCAGTAACAGACATAAGCTATAGATTTATATATACACATCTGAATAATGCATTTTAATATCGGAATTTCGCTGTATATAACAGATTCAATTATCCATAAATAACTGATTCATAATGATATCTTCTTCTTCTTTTACTTCTTCTACTTCTACTTCTCCTATATTATAAACAAGATAATCTATCAATCTTCAATAAGAAATCATATAATTTTATCAAATCACAATTATATACTACTAATAAGCAATTCTTTCAGTCAACTATTAATAGTGATCAATTTAATCATAATAATAATAATGATTCAATATTAAATTATTCATTAAATGATCCCGATCAAATTGATGATGATCAAATCAATAATGATCAAATGAATGATTCGTTGGAACAATTAGCTAAAGCAATACATGTATTAGAAAAATCAATAGAATTACATAATATTGAATTGAATGAAAATGAATTATGTAATACAAATGATAATGATATAAGTTGGTAAGTTTGAAAATAATTTATGTTAACTATACAAATCCACGATCTTTCCTCATGTAGGATTCGAACTTAGGACTTATCAGTCTTGTGAGAAAAGTGCTTCATCATTAGACCATTGAATCCTACAGTAAGATGAAATAGCCATCCAGTGATTCCAGGTATTCCATGGTGATATCTAGCTTCAATGGACTCATGATCTTAACTATTAAAATTACTATAATATTCACAAAACCCTTTTTGATAATAATGTTAACTATCTCAGTAAATGAACTCTGCCTGTAGGTCTTCTAGAGTTACTGCTGATTCCATACTTAAGTAAAGAAAGAGGTTTAGGCATGAAAATGCTAACCAGATTAAACTAATTAATCTTAGTCAAGATAAAACTAGAATAAATGGTCTACTTGAATATCTGGCCTACTTTTTCCTGCCATCTAGATATTATCTGTTTTCTTTTTTGTTCGAACGCATGATTATGCCTATTAGTCTCATAACCTATTCAGGTGTGTTTATGAAATGTTTACGACCCTTCGTTGTACTGTTATATCCTAGAGAAGAATAAATGACGAGTAACTTCTGAGAAGTATTCATGGACCGATGTTATACACATATTGTTATTGTATAACTATTTAGTAATTAGATTGTGTATGGCTATATTAATCTTATTATAAGCTTCATTTTAACCTATAGATTATTACTGTATGGTTTACTGTTCTTAAGTTATGCTCAGTATATTAATTACAGTCTCCTACGTTCACAACCACTTTTAGGCTTGATCTTGTATAGACATTGTTTCCTATTTTATGATGTGATACGGTCTTTTTGGCTGGTATATAAACCAAGTATGTTTGAAATAAATGATTCGCATAGTAGAAGCTGTTATTGACGCTCTAGACATAGTTGGACGGACTAAGGGAACAAAGGACCAATAAAGAAGGTAGGCTGGTTATAGCGGCCGAACGTCATTGGTTTGACACAGTGTTGAGATTGTATAAGCCGTATTTTTGATCAACGGATAAATCACGTGATAACTAACCGAGCTTAAAATCACAACAAATTAGCGATGGGGATTTCGCAACAAAAACAGAATGTACAAGCTACAAAAATGTACAATCGGAGACATCGTGATGGTTGACAGTATGCATTGAAAAGAATATATACATTAATCAGATGTCAATTTCTGAACTGCCAATCAATCAATATTGATCATCAGGATCAATCAACAAGTGAGAAACGGAAACTTGTTGTAATACTTTGTACTGAGAATTCTATATTGTACCAATAACCGAATAAAGCTAATAATAATTGAGCCTTTAGGAAATCAGTGTCACAATTCCATTATAAGCTGTGTGTTTTTTTTAAAAAAAATTTCTTATTCGAAATCTCATTAGCAGTGAAATCCATGATGCGTGTTTCGTCCTATTCGGGACTCGTCAGTCGCATATATCTGCATTTCAGAGTTGATGTTCACTATGAAACTCGAACCCAACACCGTTCACTTTAAACACCATCGCGTTATCCACTTAGTTACTGAGTCCCAAAAACTGATTATTACTACTTTCAAAACATGGGGGTTGCTCAGTATCGTGGATTAATTACAATTTGATATTAGCACTGTTGAATACCTGCTCAGTGGTCTGTAGGTTCGGTGTTCATGGGATCGTCGTCCAATCTTAAGACGAAACGACATTCCAATGCTTCTATCTTTACAATGATAGTCTAGCTAAGCTTGATCCATGATTTAATCCTTCAAAACATTTTTTCAATAGGTGTTTGTGAAGATCGATAATACATGGGGAAATATTATGTGATAAAGTACTCTGAATAACTGTACAAGATTAAACAGAAATTTTAAAGCTACGAAGTATTTTAATGGTATAATGTTGGTAGATGGATCATTTGACTGTTGTTCACTTATTTCAATCTAGAGAGTCAATCATTTTCACAAATCTTCACTCAGGACCTATATTGCATAGATGACTTTGAGAGATTATGAAAGTGACTTTGAATCATCTCTTCCAGTTATTACGTAATCAGAAAAGATGCAAAACATTAAAATACAAATGAACTTTCAACACAATTATGAAGTCTCATGATACGACTAAGAGTTAAGGTTAGTAGTTTAAGGTTAGGTATCATCATTATAAGTGAAGATAATAATGAATGAATATCTACTGAATTATTTCTTTGATTATATATATCAAACATGTTTAATATACCGGTATACGGGTTGTGGAGATTATTAAGTTTTTGAACCGATCGATCTTAGACCACCATTGAAAACCTGGAAGCACTGGACGGCCGTTTCGTCCTATTGTGAGACTCCTCAGCAGTGCGCATCTTTGAAAAGTTTATAAATTATGTTATAATAATTGTTTGTAATGAAAATCTACTCAGTTCCTTATGGTTTGTGTTATGATCACTAGATGAATATTCCTGAAGAGTCCAATAATAGGACGAAACAACTATTCAGTTATTTCAGGTTTTCCATGGTAATTTAGCTTTATTTAACTCATAAATTCAACTATTAAATTACTATAATATACATAGAAACACCTAATTGACTACTTATATTTATTCTTTAGCTTGATCATATTTATCGATTTCAAGTGTTTATGTAATTAAATATTGTTAAATTTTATTTTGTTTCCAATTTCGTATTAACTATTCCTTTCTCCTTATTGAATTTCGCTATGAAATTCAAAAAAAGAAACCACTATCTTAAATCTGATTGATTCGTTGGTTTAGTATAGTTCACTTATAAATGTTCTGATACGGTCGAGGGTGGAGAGAATTAGCTATCCCTTTCCAAATGCTCTCATATGGCTACGTGTATACAACCATTGATAGGGGAGTCCTACTCATTGACTTCTCACGGCATTATTGTTGTTTATGAAACTAAGAGAAGGAAAAACGAATGTCTGGCGCATTAACTAGGTTAGTGGATATGAAGGATTCATCTAGGGGAGTTAGAAAACCCTCATTCCAAACCAATAGTGCACATAGGCTTCAGGATCCTGAAGGAACAAATGGTGTACTAACCAATTATCGTTCATGTGGTTGCACCTCCTGATACTACTCCACTGCTTTGTGAATCAGATCTTTAGGTTGAAGACTCCGGGTATGACCTCCTAAGAAGATCATCTGCCTCGCTTTGGACAGTGTGGTGAATGAGAACAGAAGAGGTACAACCGATTATATACTAAAATGAAACGGTTGTTCAATGCTTCCAGGTTTATAATGCTAGTCTAACATCAATTAATTTATGAACTAAATCAAATGCCGTTAATTGTTTTTTCACTTTACTTCGATGATTCTTCACCAGTTCAAAACTATGACTCTAATTCGATCTAATAAATAATCTTAAGATATCGAATTGTAGATGGATAGATTTTAATTTTTCATCCTCAGTTTATCTGTGAAATATGGCAACCAAAAGCATAAGTTTATCATTGAGTAGTAACCGATTATATGTTTGTTGCATCCCTAGTATTCTGTTGATTAAATTGCTCTATGGTTACTAGTCTAGGTGATTAGATATCTCTGTGCAGTGTATTTTATACACGAAATGTTGAGATAAACATCAGGACTCTTTCAACTTAGTTTTCATGTCAGTTGGAACTTGTCAGTCAGCTGTATTTACAATCTGAACAGAACTGATGATCTCTGTAGGATTAGGACTCGCTACATCTAATGATACATTCATACGTATTATCACTCAGTCATATAGGTTCCTCAATTTTATTGGTATTATTATTTGTTAATAGTTGATATCATTGCATACGTGATAACCATTAAATGCTTACAGTTAAAAATTAAAAACATTTATTTCTGTATTGATGTAATTAGTAGGATATTTACTTACTTACTTACTTACTTACTCCTGTTACTCCTCGTGGAGGAGCATAGACCACCCACCAACACTCGCTATACAACTCTGTCTCAATCAATTATTTTCACTTCTTTCCACTCGCCATTCAACCCTTTCATATCTGCTTCCAATGCTCAACGCAATGCGTTCGTCGGTCTTTCCCTTCTCCGTTTCCTTTCACGATTTCAAGTTAGGGCTTGCCTCGTGATGCAGTTTAATGATTTCCTCAATGTATGTCCTATCCACTTACAACGTCTTTTCATAACCTCCTCTTCAAATGGAAACTGGTTTAACCTCTTCCACAGTAGACTGTTGTTGATGGTATCCGGCAAATGGATGTTGAGTATGTTGCGTAGACAATTGTCTACAAATATTGTACCTTCTTGATGATGGTTGTAGTAGTTCTGGAAGTTTCAACTCCGTACAGTGTAACTAGTTGTCTTGACGTTCGTGTTGAAGATTGTGACTTTGATACTGGTTGACAGACAGTTGTTTTGACTTCCATTTGTTCTTCAACTGTAGGAATGCCACCATTCCTTTGCCAATCGTCACCTTTAAGTCTGCATCCGACCCTCCTTGTTTGTAAATGATGCTTCCCAGGTACATGAAAGTTTCTACATCTTCTAGAGTTTCACCATGAAGATTGATTAATTTGCTTTGAAAATCTTACTTTTTCCCTTGTGTATGTTGTGGCGCAAGGTGCTGCTACACTAGTTGTCTTCATCTGCATTTGTTCATATGTATAAGATAGAAGAGCCAGGTCGTCTGCGAATTCCAAATCTTCTAATTGATTTCGAGCTCTCTATTGCATTCCATGCTTTCCCTCAGATATCAAGGTTTTCAGAATCCAGTCGATAACTAGAAAATACAAGAAGAGAAAAAGTAGACGTCCATATCTGACATTAATCCTTTATATTATAAGGATGGATGTTTTTTTTTCTTGATATTTTGACAACTACTTTGTTCCATCAATGAACCTTAAATAGTTCATGTAATCAACTAATTATCCCCTTGAATGAGATGATTATTATTTTCCATTTTCCTTTTCAATTTAGTACTTCCGATTCAAATTCAGATAGTGAACCGGAAATGACAATCACTGATCAAAATTCATTAAATCAATATTACAATTTACGTGGTGATCTCATTTTAACTAATCAAATACAAACTATCCTATTAGATCAATCAAAACAATTGAAACAGTCCAATAATACTGATCATGATATCACAAGATCATATAAATTGAAGAAAAGAAAAAAGAATAAGAAAAAGAAATTACAAACACTTCATGATCGTCATCTTCGTCATCGTCATCATCCTCGTCATCATCAACTCTCTTCTATACAAAAACAATCATACAAAAATATTTCATCGAATCAAAGTCAAAACAATGATAATTCTACTTCATTATCACCACCACTACCGCCATCATCCTCATCGACATCATCATCATCATCATCACCTATAGAAGGAAAAGGTACATTATCTGAACAGGTAAATTATAATAAAAGATAGTCATAATTTAACTTCAAAGAATAATTTGTCTAATATTATACATAAGTTGTTATGTTTATTCAATGTATTATATCATTACGATGGTTAATTATAGTCATGAGGACTAATTTATTGATCGGTTTTCTTCTGTTGATAAATTTACTTGTATGTATGTATGTATGTATGTGAGAGTGTGTGTGTGTGTGGGTGGGTGAGTGAGTGAGTGAGTGAGTGAGTGGGTAGTTGGTTGCATGGGTATGTAATATGTTGTCTAGTTACTATTATCAATAGTTTAGTCAATATTAATTAAACTGATTCCAAATTGTATGTTCACCTGAGAAACAAAAAGAAATTATTATTATTATTTAATTAGAACACATATATAACCATAATTAGACGACCCATGCAGGAACATATTTATAATATGAATCAACATATGCTCACTAGTGACTGGCTTTATGTGAAAAGCAGTGACCAGTGGAGTTCAAACGGGTCTGTTGTGAGATAGTAGCTCACTGATGACAATGGTGGATGCGTCGCTCAATTTCGTAGATTGATTGAAGTTAGACATTAACATCGTTGGGTGCCGACCGGTTGAGTGGTCTAGAGGTTAAGTGTTCACGTGAGAGACTGAAAGTTCTAAGTTCGAATCTCGTGAGGCGGGATCGTGGTTGCGCACTGCCGCTGAAGAATCCCACAATAGGACGAAACGGCCGTCCAGTGATTCCAGGTTTTCCATGGTGGTCTAGCTTCAATTGATTCATGATCTAAAATAATGGAACTACTACAATCTCCACAAAAACCCCTATGATACTTAACCATAGACAATGAAACTGTAGAGTGAATGAGGTATGGACAATCCTCACTATAATTATATAAGTCTCCTATAGTATTTTAGTCAATCCACGAAAGGTTTTGGTTCAGTGGTGTCTCTGAGCAACACTCACGTTACTGGAAAGTTATGAAGACCGAAATGTACTTTAATAACGAGTTGCTATAGTCTGAATAGGTTGTTTTATTTTATATTTTTGTCTTAAAGAGACTTAAAACTTAAGATCAAAGGTAAGATGAAGAATGAATACATTTAGGCAGTTGTCACCGATTCTATGCCATGTTACTTACCGCTTCTAACCAGGTGGTCTAAACCTAACGATATAAGTCAGTCTAATATTTAATCGCTTCATGAACTGGTTACACATCTTAATTTGTCCATCCTTGATAGTCTTTCAAAATCCCTTTAAAACAACCAATGTCGCACTTCTTGATAGTTATAAATAAGTATATTTGATAATTTTAGATAAAGAGATACTCACCTAAAATCTTATACGAAACTGAACTAGCGGAACTTCAAGTTTCCTGGTGAGCCAAAGAATCCTAATCCAACAGTCCATGGTTACAGTTTCAAATAATTTATGATCACATATTTTGATGGAATTTTGTTCTTTGAGTTGGATAATTTGATCTTCATTTAGAAGACTTCTATCTGAAGTTTGTGCTGATGATATCGTTCGAAAGAACAATTAAAGTTCCACGACTAAACCATCCAGCTCAAAGAACAAAACTACATCAAAATCATCCACCTCAGCTACAAATCTTCTCCACTATCTTATGATCACATGAACATACTATAGATTTCATCAGTTAACTAATCAAGAACATCAGTATCTAGATAATTCAGATTTGATTGATATAAAGACAAGGATGGATTAGAGAAGATTTTCGTATAGATTTAGACAGATTGATCATTTTTATAGGAACCTACTTCATCCAATAGTCCATTCGAATTCATTCAGATCATGTCACAATTGTTGATCTTTTCTTTCTTTCTAAACATTGAAAATCATTTTGAACTTTGATACTATCGACGATAGTCAGAACTAAGTACTTCATTGAATTAATCATAAATAATTTAATAGTTGAATCCATGAGATAATTAAACCTAGACCACCATAGAAAACCGGGAATCACTGAACAGTCGTTTCATCCTAGTATGGAACTCCTAGGCATTGCGTATTCACAATCCCAATTGCGGGACTCGAGCTTCATCTAATGAATTCATAACTATCAGAAGGGGGATTTTGTGGAGAGTTTAATAACTTTAATAGTTGAATCCATGAGTCAATTAAAGGTATATCACCATGAAAAACCTAGAAGCGCTGGAACGGCCGTTTCGTTCTAGTATGGGACTCCTCATAAATAATTGCTAGACATTTTGCCAAAATAACAGACTATTCATACATCATTTCGATTCAACTCTTAATGACATTTGGATTATTGTTGTTCTGATAAATTGGGCATCTATGACCATTAATTTTAAATTAGAGCACAAGTCAATCCTACTTACTTACTTACTTACGCCTGTTACTCCTCGTGGAGGAGCATAGACCACCCACCAACACTCGCTATACAACTCTGTCTCAATCAATTATTTTCACTTTTTTCCACTCGCCATTCATCCTTTACATGTCTGCTTCCAATGCTCAACGCAATGTGTTCTTCGATCTTCCACTTCTCCGTTTCCATTCACGATTTCAAGCTAGGGCTTGCCATACAACAGGACTAGCTGTCTTGACGTTCGTATCGAAGATTGTTACTTTGATACTAGTTGATGAACAGTTGCTTTTACTTCCATATGTTCTTCAATTCAGTCTAATTAACGTTATATTTATGTATGCCTTTTCTATACATTAGAATCATAAAGAAAGATTAAGTAGAAGGTTATATTATCTTAATAAATATACTGGACAATCAAATCATGGTATACCATGTTTTGTTGAGAAAAGATTATTTCATCGTTCATGTCAGGTAGGTCTCTGTATAGTATGTAGTCAATGTCTAGTTTAAAACGTAGACATTGAATATTTTTTTCATTTTTTTGTCTGAAAATGTTAATGCATTATTACAACAGGGTCTGTTGTGAGATAGTAACTCACTAAAGACAAAGGTGGACGGTGGCTCAATTTCGTGGATTGGTTAAAGTTAGACATTAACATCGTTGGGTGCCAGCCGGTTCAGTGGTCTAGATGTTAAGGGTTCGCGCGTGAGACTGATAGGTCTCGTATGGCGTGATTGTGGATGTGCACTGCCACTGAGGAATCCTACAATAAGTCGAAAAGGCCGTCCAGTGATTCCAGGTTTTCCGTGATTGTCTAGCTTTAGTTGGCTCATGAATCCAACTACTAAAAATTGATTAAAAATAGTTATGTAAAACGAAATTCGATACGCTATAGATGTTATCTCAAAGCAGTGAACGGACTTGGTTATCTCTTACAGCAACCAAGTTGAACTACACTAGTTGAAACACTTTTACATTTACCATATCAAATAAGTTGATTGGATAACAGTAAAATTAAACACACAGGATGTCTAAGATTTGAGTCTTATCGTTGACTTCATTGAGCTGAGAACGTCTGGCTACTCCTTGTGTCCAATTATCGTTGTCTCTAAAAGACTAGTAGTATCCAGTGGCAATCACATGTTACCAAGACCTAAGTTCATGGACATATGTTCAGGTATAGTAACAGGTATAGTAACAGTTTATATCACCATCTTGGAGCACATGTTTTGGTGGTTTGGTCACTTTTAACAAATTTTATTGGAGCTCCTTCTATATTAGGGACTAGTTGTTAACTTTAGGATTGAGTGAAAAAAGCTGAAAGATTGTCTGCAGCAACTTGCAACTTGGAAGACTCTCTCGGTCTCCCATATTGTATGAGGATTTCATGTACCTAAATTAATGGTTTCTCTGGTTGTCAGAAGGGGCATCAGCCTTTTGACTTCTGAAGGAACTCGCCTTTCACCATGAGGCGTCATAGCTCTTCTAAATGAAGACCTTCTAACTCCCAGGGCAGAGTTTAAATAGTTTGAATTATTTTTTCTGGTTAGTGTTTTTAGCGAGTTAGTTTTCTACGGGATGGGGTCGCTAACCCCATTCCCAACCCTCCCCCTTTATTTGGGCTTGGGAATGGGAATAGCCGCAGAGGGGCTCCAGGCGGAGTTGAGAGGTGGTCAGTTTATGACATACCTTAGTGATATAAAAGGAATTTGTCTAAAACTGGCACTAGTTGGTTCGTCAAAGTTCCCTAGTTGGGGTCGTAGAGAAGGGACAACTCAGTGGCTTGCGGCTTTATCGATCAATTGCTTCTGATTCACTGAAACTCTTCACTCTCTTTGATAATTGTTATAACTTCAATGCAACGTTCCACTATATACTACTTACAAAAAATCTTGTGAGTAGCATCCACTATAGTAATATACAATAACATTTCATTTTATCCTTGTTTTATACACAAAAAATTGAAATCATTACAACACTCAACAATGTGTTTTTTTAATTTAACAGCGAATTCGTACAGTTTGGGAAAATATCGACCTGACTAATGCACAAACAATACATGCTCAACGAGTAAGGAACATTTGAGGAATTTTTATTTTACTGCTATTTACATTATCATTGTACTCGTAATATCCCTCTGATGCTACCTTCGGTCACAAGCCCGGGTAAAGGAGGAGGGTTGGACATGAGGTTAGCGACCCCATCCCGTAGAAAACGAACTCCCTAAAAAACGCTAGCGATAAATAATAATCAAAACCATATATGCATAATCCAAAATATGTAAATGGTAATCACTCAAATGATAAACTCATCTTTAGGCTTATCTTTGATTTTATGTTTATAGATTGAAATGAAATTAAAAATAAAGTACTTACAATGATGGCGTTGGTTGATGATCATAGGATAATGATTACAAATTAATTGAAGCTAAAATGATGAAATATTGAATTATAGTTGTAAAACGATGGAGGAGATTTATCGTTCACAAAGATGATTTTGGCAAAGTTGCTTTCTCTAAGCTGAGTGATTTAATTACAATGCTTTCTTTGTCTTTTAAGATAAAATGATTAGCGTAAACTTCAGATCGAGTTCTCTCTGAACTTTATTTTGAATTCCTACTCAGTAGTCAGAAGGTAGTGTTACTGTCATAATCAGATCTCAAATTATTGGCAGAGATAGATGGTGGTTAGCGGTAGAATCGAAGATGTGCATTTTTTTCTTTTTTGGGACTCATCAGATAGATGTACTTGCATACCGGAGTCGATTTACACCCCGGGACTCTAGCCCAGTACTGTTCGCTTCAAAAGCCATCACGCAATCCAGTTAGCTACTGAGTTCAGATAACCACTAGTTTGTATAATCGGTTGGAGTTTAATTCACTTTTGTATGGGTTGTTTTATTCTTTGATTGACGTTCAGGATATGTTCATCCTGTTCGAATTCCCTTGATATTATCTTGAGCCCAGCTGAGGAGTCCCAAATAGGACATACTAGGTTCCACTGCTAGCCACCATCCATCTCTGCTTATAAAGCTTGTGATTTAAGGCAATGTCGAAGTAATCCGCACACGATATAAAAATGCCGATAAGAGATCGATCAGTTACAGTCCCAAAACATCAATCGAAAAGTCAAACAACTCAAATTATTGGTTTAAATAACATGAGAATATTAGTTAACTAGTTCATTTATTTATCGAATCGCAAGTTTATACACCTACATTTCAACCAGAATATCTTTATTTAAAGATTAATGGTATTAAATAGGTACCCAAACCAAAGTAGATAGACTAAACAAAAGACTCCTACTCATTAGTTAAATCCATGTAATCACTGAATCATCACTCAATTGATACACATTAACGAATAACTTAAAAATAAAAACAAATCGGTTGTTCAATATTCTGTAGTATACAATTTTTCACCATTTATTACCAATTCATGATGAAAATCATTGAACAGAATGGGGATTTGTGGATATTAAAGTAATTTAATAGCTGAATTCATGAGTCGATCTGAGCTAGGCCATCATCAAAAACCTAGAAATGTTGAGAAGCTGCTTCACCCTAGCATGTAGCTCCTCAGCAGTGCTCATCCACGATCCTGCACGCAGGACTCGAACACAAGACGCGCTCACGAACGCTTAACTTCAAGATCACTGAGCCGGCATCCAATCTCCACAAATCCCCATTATGATAATTATCATGTGCTCACTGGTCACTAGCTTCGAGAGGTCATTCTCAAAGTTTTTGTGAGAAACAGTGATCATTGGAGTCCAATCTGTGTCGAGAGTGAGACAGTTATCCACCTCAGGTAATGGATGAAGGGTTTTACAGAATCATGGACCGATTGAAGTTAGACATTAACACCGTCTGATGCCGACTGAGTTGTCTAGAGGTTAGGCGTTCGCACGCGAGCTCGAAGATCTTGGGTTTGGGTTCCATATGCGAGATCGTGGATGAGTGCTGCTGAGGATTCCCATACTAGGTCGAGATAGCCGTTCAGTGTTTCTAGGTTTTCAATGGTGGTTTAGTTTAAATCGACCCAAGAGTTCAACTGTTAAAATTATTTAACCTCAAATTTACAAATCTTCATGCTAATAAAAAATGTTTATAAAAATTACAATGATTCCTTTCTATCCCAATGTAGTTATTTATTTATTTGAATATATAATTATTGGTACTAAAGGGCATCGAATACATATGCGCCACACAAGTCAATTGGTTTGTGTGTGGGCTACGATATTGCCTGGTTACCCAGATCGAAGCAGGTGGATTTCTTAGGGGCGGCCACACTTTGAGCCTTCAACCTAAACGTCTGATCCGCAAGACAGTGGAGCAACGTGTGGAGATGCAGTCACATGGTAGTCGGTGACCAACGAATGGTTCATACGCCATTTGTTCAATCAGGATCCTGGGACCCATGTGCACCATTGGTTTGGGATGAGGGTCTTCTAACTCCCCTAGATGGATCCTTCATATCCATCAACCCGGTTAAAGAACCGGATATTGGCTTATCGTTCTCTCAATTTCGTAAACAACAATAATGCCACGAGAAGTCAATGAGTAGGACTACGTTGTCAGTGGTTATATTCACGTAGCCATATGAGAGCATTTGGAGAGAGAGAGTTGACTTTCCCTACCCTCAACCGTACCAGGGCATATCGATTGTAGCAATGAAAATGAATTAATTAAAAAGTATTTTATAATTTCACATAAAAGATAGTTTAAAACATAGAGCTGAATAAAGATCAGGCTTAAATTGATTGTAATTAATTTAATAATAAGTCACATCTTGGTGTTACCTTTTCCTCTGATCTCTCTTGGTCTTCTCACATTTTATCGTTATCGAAGAAACTTTTCCGTCTGACTTACTACATAAAGTGATTGCATGCTTTTGGGATTACTCGTCATTTACTCTTACAATTTGTCAATTCTTGCATATTACCTATTATTCTTTACTGTTCTTCATCATTCTTTCCCAGTGCTTTTGAGAAAAGATTTTGCTGTATTGCGGAGAGTGCTGAAGGCAGTTAGCAAGATGTGTGGTGAATCTTTCGAGTTCATAATTAATATGGTTGTGGATAGACATCTAAAGTCATGAAAACTCCTGGCAGGTGTTATTTTATCAGATATTAACCATCTCCTTCACTCTTATCTTTCTCCTTGTTTATCTTCTTCTGGTAGAACGAGACTTAATTACATTAAAATCCATGCACGCAAACAAAAGTATAAAAGTTCTATAATACCTTACCTAGTAAATATACTCTGTGACGAACAGGTTGTTATAGTTAACCTACTCAATAACTTGCATTCTTAATATGTCCTTAATTTGAAAAGTTGTACAGATCCAGATCTTTCCTCTTCACCTTTCTTCTCTTCTTCTTTTGCTTTTTGTGTTTTGTAAAAGAAACTTGTTGAAATACCTCCGGCTTAGAATTCCATATTGTACCAAGGATATGATATTGAATAAAGCCATAATAAGAATAACAAACCGTTATAATTATGTACAACAGTCTATTAAACTTATTTTATTTAAGATTTCTATCACTAATCACATTTTCATTTCAATGTTAATGAGACTTGAATCAATTCAGAATAGATATGTAATAACAACATTCAATTGACTAGTGTCTAATAAGATATAACGAATATCTTAAATTTGATTATTGGCCAGTACCCTAAAAATAATGTAGATTTGTAATGAGAGAGATTATATTATGGTAATTCTATTTACTAAAAGTGATCAATCAAATTTAATAGTAAATAATAACAACAGAGAAAGAACACTCCTTCTATATAATAATAATAATAATAATAATAAATAATACTCCGAGAAATGGAGATAGACCTAAGAAGAATGAGTAACAATTGGATAGAACTAGAAAAGAACGCTTAGGACAGTGTTGGTTAGAGCTTAGACCACCGACCAGTATTCTCTAACCCACTCTGTCCTGGCCCTTCTTTTCTCCGCCTGGAGTCCCTCCGGGGGCTACTGCCGGTCCCAAGCCCGGATAAAGGAGGAGGGTTAGGCATGGGTTTAGCGACTCCATCCCGTAGAAAACTAACTCGCTAAAAAAAACGCTAACCAGAAAAAAACGCGTAAGTAAGTATATATATATACAATAATTTATTGATTTTGTTGATAATTACATTTGAACAGTAACAAATGATTCATATTTAATTCTATTAACTTTAATTTCAGAAATTTGTGGAACGATTTATAAACAATGTAAGTTTGAAAAATAAATTAGACCATTATGGAAAACCTGAAATTATATGCTCACTAGTGACTGGCTTCATGTAAGAAGCAGTGACTAGTGGATTTCAAACGGGCCTGTTGTGAGATAGTAGCTTACTGGAGACAACGGTGGATGTGTCACTCAATTTCGTGGATTGATTGAAGTTAGACATTAACATCGTTGGGTGCCGACCGGTTGAGTGGTCTAGAGGTTAAGTGTTCGCGTGAGAGACTGAAAGTTCTAAGTTCGAATCTCGTGAGGCGGGATCGTGGTTCCGCACTGCCGCTGAGGAATCCCACAATAGGACGAAACGACCGTTCCGTTACTTCCAGGTTTTCCATAATGGTCTAGTTTCAATTGACTCATGAATTCAACTATTAAAATTACTATAATATCCACAAAAAACTACATTCTATTTCTTTTAGTGTTTTATGAGTAATATTAAGGACTAATCTTAATAAACATAAATTAAAAATCAGCAATCATTAAATAGTTATTTTGTCTTAATGTGAAACTTCTCATCAGTCAGTATCCATGACTTCATAGAAAACGGAACACAAGGTCTTTGAGATTCTCAATGATTGTTTAATTTATAGATCATTACTGAGATGATTTCATCATTATCAGAAAGGCTTTTGTGGATATTATAGTAATTTCAATAATTGAAATCATAAGTCAATTGAAGCTAGACCAACATGGAAAACCTGGAAGCACTGGACTGCCGTTTCGTCTTAATATGGGACTCCTCAGCGGTCTAATAGTTAAGCGCTCGCGTGCGAGACTGATAGGTCCTGGGTTCGAATCCCGCAAGGGATGTAATCGTGGATGCGCACTGCTGAAGAGTCCCATGCTAGAACGAAACGACCATCCAGTGCTTTCAGGTTTTCCATGGTGGTCTAGCTTCAATTGACTCATGATTTCAACTTTTGATTTCATCATTGTTCACATTGGATTATATGTAGTAACAATTTAAAATGAACATTCAGTATAGGTTATGAATTGAAGTGATATGAAATGTACATCATCTAAAATACTTCGATGAATATACAGTCAATTACATAGAGAGATATAAGAGATTATTATACTAGGTCAAAGTTATAAATAACTGAAAACAATTAGAAAAGATTGTCCAAGACAGAATTCAATGGAGAATACTGATGGATGGCCTATTCTTCTCTACGAAAGGTAACAGAAGTAAATAATTATCTTTAGTTTAAGAGAAGATTTCTTACGACGGGTTATTCATTAAAGAGTCCTACATAAGAACGAAATAGCTATCTAATGTTTTGTAATGATGATGTAACTGAAATAGTTCTATGATAAGACTGATGTATATATTATATATGAAAAGTGAATTAATATGATAAAGCTATGAAATCCTATGAATAGCCTTTTTGTTTAGTTAAGAAGAAGGTGACCTGCAGAAGAAGAAAAAAGTTACTTCTTCGATTCATATATATTATTTCATTATTATTATTAGTGTCTTTATACAGTTTTTGGTACAAAACAGAGTTCTCAACACAAAGTATTTCAATAAGTTTCCCATTTCTTATTTCTTGATCCATTCTGACGATAAATATTGAGTGACTACCAGTTAGATGTTAGTAGTTCAGGAATCGATCTCTGAATAATGTACATTCTATTCGGTATATATATAGAAAGTAACTACGATGTCTCTGGATGGGCTCTTTTTTATAACTTATACAGAGAAAGATCGTGAACTTTTCATGAAAGCATCTGAATAGGTTGTACAATTAATTGACATAATGATATGTTGAAATAAACAAGAAAAGACAAATAACTTGTTAAAATATCTAGAGGGTAGGAACATGTAGCCCGGATATTCAAGCAGGACCTCCTTCCAACCAAAATGAATTGGTGAAGCCTAGTAGGCCCTTCTGAAGAAGTGGCTACATCGAAACAGGGCACAACTACCGGAGCAGGATAGCTGTTTTTGCAGTTAAAGCTGTGCTATTTTTCTTTATAGCACCTTGTAATCGTTTAAGGGTATCGGTTGAGTGGTTGGCTAATTCGATTTCTACCACCCAGTTTACCGCTCATATAAGTCCATGGGACAAGTCCCACTATCCAGGAGGCACGACGATGATGTGTAAGTCGGGTTTTATCTCCCATTCAACCAGGCCGCCATAATAGAAATTAATCGAAAACGTTTTATCTTCATGGATACAGTCATAATGTGGAACTTAAATGGTTTTAGAAAATATTCATAAATGGATGAGAATAATATCAGAGCATGAGTTAGTTTCAAGATATACAATAAAAATTGTAACTATAGAATGATTTATAGAGATGTTTTCTTTTTCGACAACAACTATGTGATATTCTGATCAATTTTTAGATCACTATAGTATTAATTACGCCTGTTACTCCTCGCGAAGGAGCATAGGCCACCTATCAGCACTCGCCATCCAACCCAGTCCTGGGCAATTATATCCAGTTACTATTCATCCTTTTCATGCCTGTTTCCTATTCTCGATACGGTATGTTCTTCTGTCTTCCAATTTTCCGTTTCCGTTCAGGATGCCAAGTTAAGGTTTGTCTCGTGATATAGTTTGGTGATTTCCATAATTTAATTACTAAACTTTTATTATCGTTCTGAACAATAGCATCATCTGTAAAACATACTACATTACTTACACCTGTTACTCTTTGTGGAGGAGCGTAGGCCGCTCACCGCCACTTACCATCCAATCCTGTCCTGGACAATCCTTCCCAGTTCTTTCCAGTTGTTATTCATACTTTTAATATCTGCTTCCAATTGTTGACGCGATGTGTTCTTCAGCCTTCCACCTTTCCGTTTCCATTCACAATTCCAAGTTAGGGCTTGCCTTGCGATGCAGTTTGGTGATTTCCGTAATGTATGTCCTATCCAATTACAACCTCTTTTCCTAATTTCCTCTTCAAATGGAAACTGGTTTAACCTCTCCCACAGAAGACTGTTGCTGATGGCATCCTGATAAAGGATGTAGAGTATTTATAAATAATTGTACTTTCTTGATGATGGTTGTAGTAGTTCTGGAAGTTCCAACTCCGTAAAGGAGAACTAGCTGTTTTGACGTTCGTGCTGAAGATTGTGACTTTGATACTGTTTGACAGACAGTTGTTTTGAGTCCCATATGTTCTTCAATTGTAGGAATGCGGCCCTTACTTTTCCAATCTTTGCCTTTACTTCAGCCTGGGATTCTCCTTGTTCATCGACGATGCTTACCAGATACGTGAAAGTTTCCACATCTTCTGGAGTTTCTCCATCAAGTGTGTTTTCCGTGTTGTATTTGAGGAACTTGCCTTTCCCCTTGTGCATGTTGAGGCTCACTGATGCACAGGCTGCTACTACACTAGTTGTCTTCATCTGCATTTGTTTGTGTGTATGGGATAGGAGAGCTAGGTCATCTAGGAATTCCAAATCGTCCAATTGATTCTGAGCTGTCCATTGTATTCTGTGTTTTCCCTCAGATGTCGAGGTCTTCATAATCCAGTCAACCACCAGACGAAAAAAGAGAGTAGACAGCCTTGTCTGACTCCGGTCCTTACTCAGAATGTATCTGTCAGTCGTCATCTATTCACAACTTTGCACTGTAGTCCATCGTATAGGTTCCGAATCATGTTGACAATTATTCTCAGGAACTCTATAAAGTACATTTTATACAATTCAACCATCTCTAGCTTATAGAACTCAACAACATTAGAAGTAAAGACCACCTTTTTTGACCTTTCTTCTATTATAAAACAAACAGTTACCATTTGAATTCAGAAAAAAAATATCAAATCGATAATCAACCCCGCTAATTATGTATATTGAAATTTCGACCTTGGTTTTATAAGAACTAAACTGTATCATTGACTTGAAATGTAATTTTAACAAATATGTTGATATAAGATTATGTATCTAATGCATAAAACTGTAATGATCAATAAAAGAAAAGAAAGAAAGATGCTGTTTATGTTAGTTGTACTTTGACCTAAATGAACTTAATAACAGAAACTTTAAACACATGTTACAATAGAGTTGAATTGTTTTAAAGTCTTTTAAAAGTAATTTACTAGTTGAATTCATGAGTCAATTGAGGCTAGACCATCATGGAAAACCTGGAAGCACTGGAACGATCGTTTCGTCTTATTGTGGGACTCGTCAGCAGTGCATATCCACGACCCGACCGTTGTTGCTACCTTGACGTGGTGATCGGGCTTGCCTATCGTGATGAAGCAACCGAGCTATACTGGCTGGAACAACCGTTCCTCAAGGTCCTACCATGTCAGACAGGTCGGTTGAAGAGCGATAAGACTAAATGCAACAAACCCAAGGTCCGAAGGCGAAGTCGTACTGCTCACTGTACAGAGGTGTGACAGCAGTAAGATGTTCCCTTCAGACAACCATCATGACAGCGATGCTGCCTTCCCACAAGGAGGGGTGGGGTTAGAAAAGGTCGACCCTAAAAATGCACACCTCGTCTTATCCGACGGATATCCATCTCCGGCGGTAAGGTCCCAAAAAGTACGGAGCTAACACAAAAATTACCCATAAAAAGGTCGTGTGTGACCGACCTCAAGCAGTTGTCCCTTGGGCACTGCGGTCACGCTCCCAGGTCACTTAGACCACCTCTAATCCAATTTCCTTTTCAGGTACCTCCAGAACAACCCTTCCACGGTGTGGACAACCGGGAAGTGATAGCCGCCCTCATACCTCTAACAGCACTCAAGACCACTGCGTATCCACGAACCCGCCTCGCGAGATTCGAACACAGGATCTATCAGTCTGGCGCGCGACCGTTTAACTTGTAGATCACTGAGCTGACCGGTATCCAACTATGTTAATGTCTAAATCCAACTAATCCACGCAATTGAGCGACACCTCTACCATTGTGTTTACTGAGTTACTATCTCACAACAGACCTAGTTGAACTCCACTAGTCACTGATTCTCACTAGAACTCCAGAAAATACCTCTTGATGATCGTCACTAGTGAGCATATGATGACTATAATGAGAGTATTATATCCCGATGAGGATAAAGAATGATAAATTTTGGAATCCATTTATGGATCAATACCATACGTATATTTTTATCGTATAATTGTTAAGTAACTGAACTATTCATATTCGTGTACCTCTTATCATAAGCTTTATTTTGACCTATGAACTGTTATTATACGATTCACCATTCTTGAGTTATACCCAGTCTATCAAGTACTACGTCCCATATTTACAGGGGCTTTGTGGATATTATAATAATTTAATAGTTGAATTCTTGAGTCAACTGAAGCTAGACCACCATGAAAAACGTAGGTAATCTAAGAAACTGGAATATTGTTTAATTATAGTATCATAGAAGGCTAATAATGTCTCAACTGACTGAATGTTAACATTTTAGACTCTAAAGCTAGGTAAACTCTAGTTTGAATCCCTGAAGACTTGAATACATTCCGTCGGTGATAACCAGCTAGAAGAAAATCTAAGTCGAATTTCCCCTGGCAACTACTTAAAATCACATAACCTTTCAATTACAGCTTGATGTTAATACATAAACTTGAACAAATACGAAGGTCTGAGGAAGAACTTTGTAAATAGTCTGATGGTTGTTATGAAAATTATATGTACTTCGATAAAAAGGTTAAATTGTTTTGATTTGTCTAAATTGATTATGAAGGAGAAGATAATATAATAAGTGATATGTTGTACTAATACATCAGAAAAGGAATCGGTTACAGTATGATGTCTTGAGTTTATGATTGTTTATTGTTCATCCAAGAAGGAATGATTAATGTTAAGCTTGACTCAGATATGTACCTTGATGTGTTGAGACCGCTACTGTAACAATCATTATTATCATTCATTTGTATTGGGTGTTTGAGTCTTCCCATTGATGATAAGGACTACAATAGTTCAATCTCTTATTGGCATATGTAAATCCTGTACAGATTGCTTCGATATTGCTTAGATATCACAAGGATTATAAACAGAGATGGATGATGATTTATAATACTTGTGACTCAAAGTAATTCGCACAGTATACACATATCCCAATAAGAGACTGATCAATTGCAGTTCTGAATGTCAATGAAAGGTTAAAATAACTCATACAAAAATGAATAAAACTCCACCCGATTGTATAAGTTAGTGGATATCTGAACTCAGTAGCTAATTTGTTAACATAATAACGTTTTAAATGGATGTTACTTGGTTCGAGTTCCATAGTGAACATCAACTCTAGTACGCAAGTACATCCAGTTGATGAGTCCAAAATAGGATAAAGCAAGTGTCCTAGATTTTACTGCTTTTAACCACTGTTAACCTATTTCTAAAATATAAATTAACACAATGAGTACAAAATTATAAAATAATAGTCAATTACAAAGAGGACAGTAAACACATGTATATCAAGCAGTAGCAGAGATACAACATAATGAATCAATAACAAGGGTTAATCATGTTTATCTAAAAGACTGGTGCAATGCCATGATTCATAGTTACATCAAAAGGGTCAAAGTGAAATGTCAGTCAGTCAGTCAGTCAGTCACCAACAACGTAGAACTTCGTACATACGTACATCAGTTCGAGTTGCCATATCACATTAGCACAGAGATACAATGAGCCTTAAGTAATAGGCTATTTAACTCAATTATTATTATTAGTTGATTGAATCTTATCAATAGAGATTAACATTTTTCCAATTATCATTTCAGTTAGAGACAAAAATCTCCAAACTAAAGTCTACTGATAATGTAACAAATATTGATGTTTTAAAATATTTAAAACAAATATATTTGGAAGCAAAACATCAATTACAATTAATTCAAAGTCAATTAATTGATAAAAATCATCCATACAAATCAACAATGATCCATGAAACTATGACAACAATAACTAATAATATTGGAATACCATATCCTCCACCGTTACCAAATTTTACTACTACAGGTCATCATATAAAAACACATTCAGCAATAATAACTACCACTAACAACAGTATAGCTAAACGAAATATGTCAATAGGAGGAGGAGAAGGAAGAAGAATTGAAAGAAATAACAATGATTTAATTCCTCGAAGTAGATCATGCAATCTGTTTCTAAGGAATAATAATAATATTATTAATAATAATGGTAATAGTAAAAACAATAAACTTCTTGAATTGCCTAAAATTATTGAGAAAATATCAGAAAACAATATTATGTATCATTCTAGAAACAATTCTAATATCCTTGATGGTATAGATATGAAAGTTTAGTCTATGTCTATATACATATATCTAATGACATTCTTCTCAATGATAGGTAAAAGTGTAACAATATCACCATGGAGTTCTCCCCCCTCCGCCTTTTTATATTGGTAACATATAATACTTTGAAGAAATACAGACCTATAAACGAAGAATATTTTTTTTATTTTTGATAAATTCTCTTCACGTTCTACAATTCATATTGTTTATATTTAATAATCCAAAAAAACTTGTCAGGTTTAAGGCTGCTTCGTCCTAGTATGGGACTCTTCAGGAGTGCATATCCACGATCTTATCTGTTGAACTCGAAACACAGGACCTATCGGTATCACATGCGAACGCTTAACATCTAGACCACTGAGATGGCCGGCATCCCACGGAGTTAATGTCTAACTTCAACCAATTCACGAAATCAAGTGATACATCTGCTATTGCCTTCAGTGAGTTACTATCTTACAACAGACCTAGTTGAACTCCACTAGTCACTGATTCTCATTAGAACTCCAGGAAATAACTCTTGGTAATCGTCACTAGTGAGCATATGATGACTATAATGAGAGTGTTATATCCCGATGAGGATAAAGAATGATAACTTTTGGAATCCATTTATGGATCAATACCATACAAGTTGTTTAGGCAGATGAAACACATGCCTAAACACTTCATTCGATGAACATTTACAACTTCATCAGTCAATAAGAAAATAAAAATAAAAATAACTAACTTATTGTTTTCATTTTTATTAAATTTCTTTGTCATCAAGATGACGGCTAACAATTCAATCGAAACAAGATGCTTCATGCATCCTCAATATTAGTCCACTGAAAACTATAGACAGTTGTTTATAGTAGAATATCTGTCATCTTAAATAATAGGGATTCATTCCGATCACCCTTTATAACGCTGATATCAAGCTATTTTGTGTTGAATCTGGAAGCATAGATACCTTTTCTAATCGAAATACCTCTTTCATTTTGTGAGAATCCGTCACTCACTCTATTGTAGAAAGCAGTTGGAAATATTCAAGACGTTTGCGTCTGGCTGCTGATAACATTGTGTAAAAGTGAGATAGGTAGATCTAATCTCTACATAACAAAAGCACTATGTTTTGCAATACTTTACTTCTATAATTTAAATACTTTTAATATCGCTTAAAGTTCGATCATGATTGAATTTTGGGGACTGTTGCGCAACTCCAAAAGTACCACGAACTTAATGCACGGTTATGAAAACGTCTGTCCAAATACAGTAGACTAAAAGCCGGTATAGATAAAGTGCTTGTGACACCCTGGTAGTTTACACGTCAAGTATTGTTATCAGACAATGAGAAGGGTTAGAAGCATAAGATTGATTTATCTATGACATGGAATCATGAAATAGCTGATTATATTTGGGTGAAAACTATTGGTTTATCATGCATGTGTCACTTACTAAGCCGAGGTAGTGACAACTGCCTTTAAGTAAAACAAAGTAGGCTATTAATTTTAACAAATTAACGCTCATTATTTTCACGTAGTTTAGAAATACAACCTTATTAATGGAACAATATTTATTTATTGTTTATCTGAATACATAAATATTGGTACAAGGAGGCACCATATATGTACGCGCCACACAAGTCACTTGATTTGTGTGTGGGGTGTGATAGTGACCGGGTGCCCGAACCGAAGCAGGTGGTCTTCTCAGGGGGGCACACCCGGAGCCCTCGACCTGAAGGTCTGATCCACAAGGCAGTGGAGCAACGTCAGATGCAGTCACATGGTAGCCGGTGACCAACGATTGGTTCATACGACATTTGTTCCTTCAGGATACTGGAGCCTATGTGTACCATAGGTTTGGCATCAGGGTTCTCCAAATGCACTAGATGGGTCTTCCATAGCTACCAGCCCAGTTAAAGCACTGGAACAATATAAATAAGGACGGTGAAGATCTATTATTCTCACAGTACTAATGTAGATTTTAGAATATTAGGAAAGTGAAGTTATGTGGTAAATATATTATAGCAAGTAAGAAGTTCACCACCAAGATAGAAAGAAGATTAAAATAGTTTGAGAAGCTTCACTAAATACCTTTCAACTATGAAAATTGTATATGGGTAATTATGGAATTTAAAAGCTGATGAGAAGCGATTCAAGTGACCAATACTTTGAAAAAATATGAAACCTTAAAAACCTATCGTTCTTGTAAAAGAATCAACAATGATGTCATTAAGTCAAGTCGATAAAAGAGGTATTACTTAAATGAATATAAAATTCTCGAAACCAGATAGGCATCACTCATAGACATGTCTGATTGACAAAACCAAATTAATTCGTTAATCTTTCTATAACCAATACTAAGTTTATCATCCTAACAACGATCAAAGAAATCAATAGAGCTGTTAAACAAATCAAGAGTGGGAAAGTAGCAGGATCAGATAACATATCAGCTAAAGCACCGAGGTCAGACATAGACGACTGCAAAAGATGATCCATGTTCTATTCAAAAAGGTTTGGAAGGAAGAGCGAATGACAACAGATTAGAAAAGAGGACACTTCATGAAGATACCAAAGAAAGATCTCAGCAATTGTAAGAACCACAGAGGCGCCACACTACTATCAGCAAAGCAAGGGTAGAATTCCTACGATCGAAGAACATATGGAACTTAAAACAATTGTCAGTCGAACAACACCCAATTTAGAATTCTCAATACAGAAGTCAAAACAGTCCTGTTGTACGGAGATGGAACGTGGAAAACTAATATAATCATCAAAATAGTACAAGTATTTATAAACAATTGTCTACGCAATATACGTCAGATCTGTTGACCAGTCACCATCAGCTACAACCTAATGTGTGAAAGAATCAGCTTCCAGTGGAAGAGGAAGTCAAGAAATGACACTGGAAATGGACAGAACACACTGGGGAAATGATCAAACTGCACTACGAGGCAATCCCTAACTTGAAATTCTGAAGGGAAATGGGAAAGAGGAAGACTAAATAGCACAATGCGTCGAGAATGTGAAGCAGACACTAAAAGAATGAGTAGCACTTGGAAGCAACTGAAAAGGAGAACCCAGGACAGAGTTCGAATTGCTTTCCCCAACATTCAATCAATCCCAATCACCACACTGATCCACGGGTTGATCATACAATTCGTCCGAATCTACCTAGATTTCTTCGTATGCAACTCCTTAAAACAGCAGCTCTTGTCACTCATGGTAAAGCCAGAACTGAGTACAGAAGAAATGCGTCTTATCCTTATCTTTGATCTAGTCTATTTTTCTCGTATTCGAAAACATCCTCCTATCTATTTAACTATTTCTTATATCCCCATGATTTTATTCATAATTGTTCCTGATATAACTTCACTTCATTAACCTTCTTTATTGCCTTTAATTATTGTAACAACAATGTTGTAGTTATCGTACTCCATTCACATTATAATCCATTGCCAACTTAATAATACCATCTGGAAACTTTTATTCAGAAAAACTTCATAAAACAAACACAAACGTATTCATGTTTACAAACTTTTTTCTACTATCTATATCTAAAAACAATGAATGCACATATAATTACTTGACTAATCAAGTCAGTTAGCAACAACGTAGAACTTCGTACGCAAGTACATTAGTTGAAGTCGCCATACCATATTACCACAGAGATACAATTATGCATTCAAATCCCATAGCGGTAGAGGTAATAAAAGTACAAACAGTAATCGCGAAGATTAGATTTCGAAGATGTTAGTCAAGGAGTATAATCCAGTGAAATAAATTTGGAAAGAGAACAATGGACACGAAGAATTCAGAAGATTAGAATTTGGGAGAACACAAAGAGTGGATGCACCTGCACCATTTGAGCCATATCATTCAAGGTCTCTAATCATCGGTCTCTATAGTCTCGCCGACTCAAACCAGGTACTCTACACCTACCAACATGGCTCAGTTCATTTGTCAGTGACATCATGGATTTGTGCCATGTTTTGATCTGGCCGCCCCTAGCTTTCTTCCAACCTATTCCTACACCTCATCAAGGCAGTCGGTGCTTGAGTATAACGTAACAACTGACGAAGCTCCCTTGACTAATCAAAAGAAGAGAAAAAAAACATGAAGAACACCTCATACACATATATATCTAAACACAAACTCAACCATTTATTTAGCTTTAAAAGAATTATATATTGTTTGTCTATATATGCATATATTTTTTTGATATTATAGATTACATTCATTTTTTTTTCTTATTTAACTAAAATGGTCCACATATATGTAAATGAAGTTAACACAATTGACCATAAGTAAGAATATTCAAGAATCATCGGGAGAATAAACACTTTTTTTGAGAGAAAAAAATATTTTCCACTTGCTTTCTTCCTTCCTCTACGTAACCATGTCAAAATACAGAGCTAGTACACACATCAAATCAAAGAGAAGAAAAAAGAAAAAGAAGAGAAACAAATACAATTGCATATTGTCTTTTTTTTCTTTAAAAAAAACACAAAAAAGAAACATATTGAATAGACAATTCTAGGAAAAGAGAAATGGAGGGCATAACAAAAAAGAGAGGGGAAGAGAAAAAAAACACGAACAAACAAACAAATAATAAAAGATGTGGAAGAGGATTTGATTACTGTGATGTGCGCAGTTTGTGTAATACTTTATGAAAATTAATGAAAAAGTATGCAGAACACATATACCAACTGTTCTAATAAGAAGCGAATAAAAACAAAACAAAATGAAAAGGCTTTTGACAAGTCTAAAAAGCAAAACTGTTGAATAGCAGCACACAAGTACATATAATGCAACAGTTTAGGAAAACTGTGACAGCAAAAATATACTGATGAAAAATACATATTGACAGTCTCCTTTGTTTTTTAAAAAAAACGCAAAGATTAGTGCATATCCTCTCTAGAAATGAAATAAGTACTACATAATGTCGATATTTAGGGTGAACAACCTGGGTCATTATCTTGACTGATTTGATTGAAGGAGTCGGTCAATAGCTGCGTTCACATCCCCAAATGTAGCGATCAATGCTGTAGAAAAAATAATAATAAATAGATTGGTTAGTTAAAAATATGCTTACGGTTAAATGTTTTCAGGACGTTAATTGTAAATTATGGTAAATGAGATAAACAACTACCCAACTGGAA